CAGGTCTGGCTCTATAACATTTGCCTTGATAGTTTTGTTTATCCAGTAGAGAAAGTTTGTGATGGTTCGGGAGAAGACCCAACTTGCAGCAGGTATGAGTTCTCTTATGCTTCTGTTGTCATTTATTAGTTATGGCTGAGGAAGAAACCGTATTTAGATGGTCGCAAACCATTATTTTCCAGCCAGACACTATATCTGAAGTCTAAACTGATGAAAACCTTCACGAATGAAGAATTGAATCTTTAACGTGGGTATCAGTGGACCATGCTGATATCTATTTATATTTGGCAAAAAAAAATAAACCTTTCAGGTCAGTGTCTGGGAACAGCATATCAGATCACATGACATACTTTGGTGTTCAGTTGGGATGCGAAGAACCGGTTTCATGCAAAATCATTATTATGGATTCCCTTCTTGCTTCTTACATTACACAAGATCTTAATGGAAACATTGTATTATCTCGAGGTATTTCTGCCCCTACGTCAAGGATGAATCCGGAGTCCAGTAAACAGAGTGCACCTTTGTGATGTTTTGTCATTAGCCTTCTTTGGTTGAACATTTGCGTTCTGAAAATGTATGATAGCATGTATATATACTTTTTTTTTCACAATGTACATAATTAGTTATATAGTTAGAATACTTTTTTGCTGGCTTTATTAGTGAGTCTAACTGTACAAGAATAATGCCCTTTGGGCTATTTTTTATGCTTAAAATTTCAAACCATGTACTATAGTTTGTCCAGGAGCCGTTTGAGATTGATCCGACTTCGGTTTCTTTTCTATGGCAAATTTACAATAAGTTTTCTGGAGTATGGATAAGAATTGGACAGAGGTATTTAACTAATTTAAGAAATCAAAAGTTGAGAATTAGAATAAATTTTCCAGGAACGAGTAGACCTGGACTCGGGCCCGGTTCGGGCCTGGGCCCGGCCGGGCCTCGGGCCAAGAAAGTTGGGCCCGAACCGCCGGTGGGCGGTTCCGGTTCCGGGCCAAACCGGGCCGGGCCTAACCGGTTCTAATTTTTTTTGGCTCTTCTATTTAACCCCCAACCCCTCTCCCTCAACCCCAAACCACCCCAAACCACCTCAAATGGCCCAAAATACCTAATCCAACCCAAAACTTAAAAAAAATTCAAAAAAAATAATAATTAAAAACCGGCCCGAATCGGGCCCGAACCGGCCGGGCCGGTTCACCAAAAACTGGGCCCGAGCCCGGACCGCCCAGCAGCCGGGCCGGGCCGAACCGAACCGGTGGACCCACCGGGCCCCGGGCCGGGCCGGGCCAAACAGTAACCGGGCCGGGCCACCCGGCCCGAGTCCACCCCTAGGAACGAGTGTCATCTAGACTCTATCTTAACAAAAATTGTTTTCTTAATCATCAGAAGTGCTTGTAAATTGATATACCCTTAAAAACTGATTTTGATGTGGAGTGCTCCTTGAAATAGGAGAATTAGGCAAATTATACCGTGGGATCGGTGCACTGTAGGGCTGGACTCGGGCCGGGCGGCCCGACCCGGGACCGAACCGGCCCGGTCACTGTTTGGCCCGGCCCGGCCCGTGGGCCGGTGGGTCCACCGGTTCGGTTTGGCCCGGCCCGGGTGCTGGGCGGTCCGGGCTCGGGCCCAGGTTTTGGTGAACCGGCCCGGCCGGTCCGGGCCCGGTCCGGGCCGGATTTGAATTTTTTTTTTTTGAATTTTTTTTAAGTTGTAGGTTGGATTAGGTATTTTGGGCCATTTGAGGTGGTTTGGGGTTGAGGGGGAGGGGTAGGGGATTAAATAGGAGAACAAAAAAAAAAAATTAATTGGGCCGGTTCGGCCCGGCCCGGCCCGGCCCGGTTTGGCCCGGAACCGGAACCGGCCACCGGTGGTTCGGGCTCGGGCCTCCCCTTTCCTGGCCCGAGGCCCGGCCGGGCCCAGGCCCGAACCGGCCCGAGTCCAGCCCTAGTTCACTGTGCCCACGGTGTACAAATCCCAATATGATATCGTTTTGCCATTAAAACAAGCACCGCAAACCAGAATTCCCTATTTTCGTTTCATCACAAGCAGCGCAAACCATCATCCCAATACGGCGTTCTGCGATTTCTTTCTTATGCTCGGCTTTGTTGGAAGCCTCAACGGAAAACAACTGGAGCAAAAGTCACGAAGAAGAGCTGCGTCCGCCATAGTGATGGATCTTCTGGACAGGCCATTTGTCGGAGCTATGGCCGCCGCCTAGAACTCGTACATCTTGAGAGCTAGTGCCATCTCTGAGAGCTACACCAGCGGCTCAATAATTGAGTTCATTATTATGCTTTGGGTGTATCTTTTCATGGATGTGACTATGTGAGGATCACTTTATACGGAGATGGCAAACATTTGTTTTCTGGGGATCAATTTGGATGCTTTGGCCTTTGGGTATATCAGTTACAGAGTAAACAACGTAATATTGGAGCAAATTAATCCAATTGTTGGCTTTGGGTATATATTGGACCAAATTAATCGGCAGGTAGCAAACATTTATTCATAATATAGAGTTACATTTCACATTAACTGAAGTTACATTTCTGTTTGGCTAAGGTTACATTTTGTAACATGTGACTTAGAATGTTTTTACTTGGACTGTAATTTGCTGGTCTGGTCTTGTCTGGTCTAATCTGGTCTGGTCTAGTCTGAACTGGTCTGGTCTAGTCTGGTAAGGTCTGGTTTCTTTGTATTTTTATAACTATCCAAGTCTGGTCTGGCCTGATCTGGTCTGAACTGGTCTGGTCTGGGACAAATTACAGTCCAAGTAAAAACATCCTTACATTTCAATTTTCCTTAATAAGTTACATCTTGCTTATATGTGATTTACATTTACAATAATACGAGTTACATCACAAAACAATATGAGTTACACAACATGTTATTCAAATATTAATGAATGTTTAAAATCATTTTTAATGGTCCTGATATTAAAAAAACATATACATACATTATTTGTGTAAAATAATTGGACAAATAAACTATTTATTCATTATTTCAATGTGTGCTCCTATTTTTTAATTTTTTTGAAAAAAAAAATGATTCCTTATAAACATTTTATGGTCTTAATATTAGAAATAAAACAGATTCACTATTTAGGTAAAGTAATTAAACAATTAGACTATTTTTATTTTTAACATTCAAATCAATGTTTTAGACAAGTAACATTTTGATTTGTCTACATTTACATTTCTTAACATCGTGAGTTACATTTCTTTACACACGTACGGTTCACACGAGTGAACAGTAACGCGTTTTTGCCTGTGAGCAGCATGCTCATGGTGTGCCGGTTGCACCGTATACGAACTCGGAGAATCAGTTCTAAAAATGATTCCAAACTGCTCTTAATTGATATTATCTTTGTCCCTTGAATTTGGTATATGAGAAAGTGGTGTGATTATAAAGTAAATTGAATTTATGTAGTTGATATTGAAATACCTAAGTAAGAATTACGTAAAGTATGATTTACAACAATATAAATTTGTATGAGATCATACCCGACCAAAAAGGAAAAGAAATTGACTCTTAAGTTCTTAACAAGACGGAATGAGCATTGTTGTATAACTCTTCGCCCTCTTGGAAATCTTTTTAAAAGTTTGTTTGCACATTAGGAATCAATACACTTTTGAAGTTGTAGAAAATTATATTTACAAACTTCTAGCTAAATACTCTGTAACAATCAATGCACTCAGTAATAATTAATACATCTTTGGTTTAAATATTATTCATGAAGGTAGATATTTGATTTGGAAACATAGATTCTAAATACTTAAACTACACTAAAATTTGCATGAAAATGGCTTCTTGGAAATCATTTCAGTGCTTCTATTTTTTTTTTTTTTTTGACAAAACATAACATTTGAGGGCATTTTGAGAAACGATAGATGTAGTTTTCTTCCAAAAATAGTAATTGAAGTTGGAAAAAGTGATCTATATCGGAAAAATTCTTGAAATAGGAATAAAAATGTTTCAAAATTCGAAAATATGAGTGTTATATTTGTATTTGTATTCCATAAATAAGATTAATCACTACCGTGCTTTAGTATTACTAGATTTTAAACATGATTTTTTCAAGCTTAGCAACAATTACTTTTATTTTGTGAAAAAAAATATAGCATTTCTGTTTTAAAATTCTCAAACATTTATACTTCCATTTAAGACAATTTCTTCTATATATTGTGAAATCAAGACAAACTTTGTGAAACACCCTTGTTGAAGTGTTGTGTATAATTGCAATACGTTATTGAAACACCCATTTGGATTGATTGATTGATCAGCATTGCATTATTTTGGGACTTAGACAAGTGATTAGTGAGATTTTAAATTTAAATACAATATATATCAATATATTAGTATATTACTACGACATGCAAAATGAAAGGGATAGAGAGACACTACATGATTGATGTGTCCGTCTTAACATGACTTCATATTGATTAAAGTACATATAACTATATAAGTGATAATCTTAGAAAAAGTAATAACGGAGTACTTTTTATTATTTGTTAAATAACAAGCCTTTTGACAAATCAGCGAATATAGCAATTCAGAGTTAAATTTTTTTTGTAAAGAAATGTTTATGAACAAAAAATGTTCTGGTATGGGAAGATTCGAACTTATATATTCATATATTTATTGGATATCCGGCACAATAATCTACACAAGTCACCCATCTAACTAGCCGTTGAGAATGGGGTGGGATTGGGATTTAGAAAAAAGTAAAAAGGTTGTAAATTGTAACACTAATTTTAAATAATATGGTTGTTTTTGTTACAAATTTGAAAGTGCTAAAAAAGAACTGCCAATGAGTTTTATGTTACTGAGAAGTCTGAGTAATAAATTATTGTGAATTAAACAAAGCATGTTTGGTTGACATTATTACCATTCCAACTAGAACATCACCCATGCAAAGAAATAAAATTCTACGGAGTACATTTTTTTTAATAAAAACCCAAAAAGGGAAAAATGTTTCTTGATTTAGCTACGGATCGGAACCCAAAATGTCACTTAAATTTATTATTATTATTATCTCATTTATATTACGTGAAAAAAGTAAAATAGTTATTCACATTTATTGATTGTCAATGAACTGGCTGACCCCCACCACAAACTAATCATGCAAAATAACGGTTGGTACTGAAATAATTTGGTAAAAAATAATGATAACTGGTCCATGGAGGCTGACCCTTCAAACACACCCAATAAGAATTGTGGCTTACAAAGTGCACCATTAATAGAACAATTTCCCTACACAAATGAAGAGAATCTCCAAGACATTTGAATAATAAATGTGCAGTTTCTGAAAATGATGTGACTATATGGATAAGTTTTTCTTCCTTTTTTCCTATACAACTGGACTTGCAGTCCTCTCTTCTGGTTCTGGTTTGGCTTCAACTTTTGCCTCATCAGTACTAGCTGGCACATCATTTTCTTCTGCATTCTTTCCTTCTTCATTTCCATGAATGCCAGCTTCTGTCAATCAAAAGCATATTATTTAAAGCTTTTCAATTTAAGTTTGTTGTGAGACTACACTCTAATTACCTATACTTTCATATCTGTACTAATGGTGGCCGTGGGCACTTCGGGTTAGCTTTTTGTGTTTTCCGATTCAGATTACAAGATATTGAAAGAATGATTACCAAATTAAAACCAAAGTCTAGTTCGGATTGGATTTGTTTTTAAATGCTAAAGTTAATTTCATTTTTAATTCGGTTTGGTTTTATCAAGTTTCTGTTCAATACATATTAGTACAGTTTGGAAAACACATTGCCAAACTAAAACCGAATTGAACATTCAGTTTCGGACAGGTTAGTCCATTTTGGTTTTATTCGGTTTCAGTTCAGCACAGATTAATATGGCATTACCAAACCAAATTAATACAGCAAATATGATTCATTTTCGATTCGGGTAAGTTTGTTTTTCTTTGGTTAAATCAAAATACCCACCTTCGCTATTCTTCTAAAGTTGTTAGAGAAGTTTCAAACGAGAATGTGCTATCACATTTACCAGATTTGTGTCTAAGATGATAGAAAAGAATTGAATCAGTATGACAAACCTTTTTGTGCATCATCTGTTTGGTTTTCATTAACAGATGTCTCCTCAGCTTTTGCAACCTCTTCAGTTTTGTTGCTGTCCATCTCCCCCTCCTCAATCTTAATAGACACAGATTCTGTTTCTTCATTCTGCTCAGCAATGGCTATTTCACCTTTCTCTTTTACATCTTCCACATCCACAATACTTTCATTGAGCGTCTCGGGTTCAATTATTTCTTCTTCACCTCTAGCTTCATCTTTAGCAGATACAGATTCTACTTCTGCATTCTGCTTTATAATGGCTATTTCACCTTTCTCTTTTACATCTTCCACATCCACAATACTTTCATTGAGCACCTCAGGTTCAATTATTTCTTCTTCACCTTTAGCTTCATCTTTAGCTGATACAGATTCTACTTCTGCATTCTGCTCTACAATGGCTATTTCACCTTTCTCTTTTACATCTTCCACATCCACAATACTTTCATTGAGCACCTCGGGTTCATTTATTTCTTCTTCTTTATCATCTTTAGCAGACACGGATGCTACTTCTGCATTGTGCTCTTCGATGGCTATTTCTCCTTTCTCTTTTACATCTTCCGCATCCACAATACTTTCCTTAAGCTCCTCGGGTTCATTTGCCTCTGCTTCCTCATCTTTAACAACCACAGATTCTATTTCTTCCTTCTGCTCTGAAACTGCCATTTCGGTTTTCTCATCTTCCAAAGCCACAATAATTTCCTCAACCTCCTCGGGTTTGTTTACCTCTTTCTCAATCTCATCATAAACTGCCAAAGATTGTATTTCTTCCTTCTGCTCTGGAATGGCCTTTTCTGTTTTCTCCGCTTCCAATGCAACAGGACTTTCCCTAACCGCTTCAGATTCATTTACCTTTTCCCCAATGTCAATAGACGCAGATTCATTTCCTTCCTTTTCCTCAATGGCCTTTTCAGTTTTCTCTTCTTCCAAAGCCACGATGCTTTTTTCCTTAACCTCCTCAGGCTTGTTTATCTCTTCCCGGGGCATAACTTCCATAGATTCATTTTCTACATTCTGTTCAACTTTGACCTCATCCAATTTCTCTTTTACATCTTCCACAACCATTAGAGCAGATTCTGTATTGCTGCTTTCCTTAACCTCCTCGGGCTTGTTCATATCTTCAACCTCATCATCCTTAACAGGGAGAGGATCTTTTACGGGTTCTACCTTCTGTTCCACGCTGGCCTTATTAGTTTCTGTTTTTACATCTTCTTCAACGGGTTTAACCGCCTCAAGATTCAAGCTTTCCTTAACAGGAATGGGATTTTTTTCTTTCACATCTTCCACAGAAACCTTAACAGCATCAAAACTATTCTGGGTTTCCTTAATCTCCTCCAGAGCCTCTGTTTGTGTGTATTTGCTTTCTTTTCCAACGGATTTTGGTTCTTGAAAGATGGGTTCTTTTATGCCTTCCTTAGAGACATTGATTTCGACATTTCCAAGAGCAGCCTCGGGGGTGTTCTTGGTGGGGTCATGGGTTGGAGGAGCAGCTTCTTCTTGAGCCGGTCGTTGCACGGCGGGGGCTGTGGTGGCGGCGGCGGCCTTCTTCTCCCTCCTGGAGCTTGATCTGGAAGAGGACGAGCTTCTGGTTCTGCTCATGGTGGTGTTCTCCGTTGAGACGGCGTGCTTTGATTCGCCACAACCCATTTTTCTGTGTGGGGAAAACAATGAAAATGGAGATGACGGTTCTTCTCTCTCCTTCTCCTATCTCTCCTCGGTTTTGTTGAGAGAGATCAGAGAAAGGAATTTGAGAATGGGATTGTCTCTCTGGCTTCTCTGGCTCTTTGCTTTCCAAATTTGAGGGTTATTATATTACTGTGTTTTTATGTTTTTATCGTTTGGCTAAGGATCAGTTTTTTCTGTTATGTCTTTTTTTGAAAGGTTAAGATATGGCCATTTGTCTAGTTTTTGTTGATGAGGGAGACTTTTACTCAACTTGAGCCTTCAAGTTGTCACACATCCAATTTCACAATTATTTTACAGATATTATCATCTTTATTCATGTTATTATCACATCATTATCAGTTTATGATAATATTGTATAATCCATATTACTTTTAAAACTTTTAAAATAAAATAATATGAATGGATATGATGAAGTCAGATGTCCCACCTCTTGGGTTGCAAACATATAAACTTCTCTTTAAAAATAAAAGGTGTGATACTACAAATCTCATTAGTACAACTATATAAGGTATAAGTGAGTATTATAAAATACTTTGTGATATGCTAGTAGAAATTAAATAATAATCATTTTTAAAACATTAATATCATGTGTGATGTCATGACACTAACAATACATCACACGAAAACAACTTCAACACTGAATTTATGCTTTCAAGAATAAGTGCATGTAAAACTTGATGATTAAAATAAGTTTATTAACACTAAAATGGATTGAGGGCAATCTAAACGATTTGTGTTATGTAAATTAACCTTTAACCAAACAAGTTCATTTGCTTTCCAATAATACTAACCAAGCACAAAATAAACACTTCCCCTAAAAGGCTACAACCCTTAAAAAAATCTAGGTAAAGTCACAGCTGTTGAGCAGTTCCATCTACAACATTATGTAAAGGCTCATGAACATATTTGTACAATTGTACACCTAAACCAGTCATTGGTTGAAAACATGAACTTCCCATAGTTATTATTCAGTCAGACCCAAGTGTGAAAGTTTTATTCTACCTTCAGTCCAGTTCCGGCTTTGGGCCGGTCAGTTCACTTCCCGGTCCCCAAATGTGGTCACCCGTAACCAAGGATGTAATTTCCAGATAAGATCCGATTCCCGTACAAACCCAGCTCCAGTCCAGTTTTGTACCATATTTTTTAAAAAACTGATAACTAGGACTGGAACCTTAACCAGAATGGGTCATGTCCCATTTTGGGGAAACGGGAACCCTACCCAAGTTGGGTAAATTATGGTCATGGACTCATGGTCCATTTTGGAGAAACTGAATCTGTGCCCGGGTTGGGCAAGTTAAGGTCCGGTACAATTAGCCCAGTAATGTTCCGAGTAATTTACCAGTCTGGTGGCGAAACCAAGTCCACCCCCAAATAAAGGTACCCCCAAATAAAGGTGCAAAACTTACAATGAAAGAAATATATACTATTGCATAGACATTTATATTGAATAAAAAAATCCAATTAAATGTTCCCATACTTGCATTGCATACAACTTCCTTATTTCAAATCCTGTGGATGAATATATTCTTAACATGTGCCTGGAAATTAAAAAAAAAAAGTAAAAAATGGGTATAACAACATACAGAAAGATTTTCCAGTAAAGGTCATGCTGTTGTGCACAATCTGATACCATGCCATCATCCAACTGTCACTGATCTGGATCCTTACCAATCAATTCCAAGGTGGGTCAACACAGCACCAGCCGAGAAGACACCACTACACTGCCCTTTAGCAAATTAATCAATCATTTCCAGCAAATGTTCATATCTCGTCCCAGTACTAAGATTACGGATTAAGCAGTCAGCATATCTCATGCCAATACCAGGATTTTACCACTCAAACTGCAGGAGAAGAATCGCTCATTTAACCAACAACCTTCATAACAGGTCGGCCTCCTCCTGGTCAACATCAGGATCGTCAACCTCATTCTCCTCATCTTCTTCGAGGGCATCGGGATCCAGTCCCTGCAGAAAATGCAGTTCAGATATCATTTCTTATTGGAATGCTTTATAAAGTGAACATATTTCTTAAAGTACAAGAAAATGAGACTAAGACATATATAGATAACAGGTAATAGAACCTTCATTTGTTTCTCAACACGCTCTAATCCTTTATTTGCTGCTTCATTTTGCGGATTAATCCTGGATACGGAAAGGAACATGGAGATTATGTACAACACAACCCAACTAAGACTTCTTATAACAGCAGCCTAGAAAGTTCAAGAGTCACATACAGGAGTACCCATTCAAAACTTCCATGTTGCAGGTTCCAAAATCGTACTACTAGAAGAAGGGTCAGTTTGGAAACCCAAAAATGGTAGGAAAAGAAAGAAAATGGGGACCAAAGTGAAGGAGAAATATGAAAGGAAAGAAAATTTAGTGTGCAAATTAAAAAAAACTTGGCTCACTCAGTAAATCAGCTTGACATATTTTTCAAACTCACTGTGTATTTCTATTTCTGTTTTGGGTGCGTGTAAATATATAAACGGAAAAGAAATCTAATTATATATACTCCCTCCGTCCCTAAATGTTTGTCACTCTTTGACTTTTGCGGTCTTCTAGGTAGACGTTTGACCGTAATTATCTATTAATATATACCTATAAAATCTATAATAAATTGACATTTGAATAATACATATTACAAAGAATCACATTAGATAATTTTTTCCGAATAAAATATAATTAATTTTGAGTAATTAGCGGTCAAAGTTTAACAAGTTTGACTGAAAAAGTCAATAAGTGACAAACATTTAGGGACGGAGGGAGTATATAACTAAATATATCAACACAAGATTTTTCTTTGCATTTTGCATGGTAAGGCCAAACGTATTTACTATTTTCATATCATCTTTTCCTTTTTCCCTATCACTTTCTGCGTCCCAAACTCCAAATATAGCCGCACTAGCAAAGACAAAAACAGAAAAAAGTACAGTATAGAAGAGAGCCATACCTCAGCGCTGACAGATAATGTGAAAGAGCATCTTGCAGCATGTTTGTGGCAGAAAACACCTGGGCCAGCTTAACATGCAAAGAATCATCAGCCCAGTCCTTGAGATACCGCTCAAGGAGAGAGACAGCATCTGCATTTCGACCTTCAATGACATGTAGCTCAGCCAAAGCTAATGCAGCACCAAGGTAACCTGGTTCCAGCCTGAGGGACGATTCATAAAACTTCTTTGCCTATTTTGGGGGGGGGGGGGGGGTGCAATATGGTGTAACAATGAGAATATCCTCTGCAAATGAACTTATGAAGAGTGTCTTGAACCCACACATTGGGGACTTTTTGGCCCCTTGCAAGACTTCAAAAAAGAACTTACCTTCTCCCTGCCGCTGGTATTACTAGCATGCACATCCCCAACTAATTTTAGAGCCTTTGCGGACTGAGGCATGGCCTTCATTGCCTCCCGTGCAGCATGCAAAGCTTCTTTGGCCTTTGAAAGTGCCAAATAGGATCTAACTAGGCCTGCAATTATTTCTGAACGGGATAAGATGATACTCTTAAGGTCTTCTTACTGTAAAATGAAGGATAAGAACCCAAATCAAGACATCTGCAGATTCTGCTCTTAAGAAGTATCCAACCAATAGAGGTTCCAAACCTAGAAAATCTTGATAAATAAATAAAAACACTACACTTCTTGTGTCATGCAAAAAACAGACCTTGATATGAACGAAGATCGGGTCTCAATTCTTGTGCTCCTCTGAAGGCAACCACAGCAGCTTCAGGACGATTCATTGACAGGAACATATTCCCCTACTTGAAGTATACCCGACAAATTCGTAAACAGAAAACCAAGAGATGGAAAACACAGAGAGCTGGCATGAATTTAATCTTCAATAATATGTAAGACACCATTGGAAAATACCTTCACTATGTATCCTGGAATATGCCTCTCATCAATTCGGATGCTCTAGTCAAACAAACATAACGGTATTGAGAGTTACACTCAAGTGCAATCAAGAATCGACAACTAAATCCGCTAATTAGAAAACAAGAAGTTTTACCTTCTCTGCATAAGATAAAGCCCCCCTCTCATCCTTCTGTTGCCACAAGACTGACAAGGCCACAAATACCTCAGGTCTGGTTGGATCAATATTTAGTAAATCATGCACTAACTTGTTCAACTTTGAATTATCAGACTTCACTTTCAAAAGCATGGCATACTCATCCATATAAGTCATCACATACGGATCAATAGATCGAGCCTGGGGTAATAAAAAACAAATACAAGATTGAAAAAAATAATATCGCAAGAAATAGTGTTTACCTTGTCAAAATCAGCTTCATCATGGTTTCATGTTAAGGTCAAGTACAATAAGCTTTTTATGATGATAAAGTATTAAATTAAGAAGTACGGAGTACTTTGCATACCTTCTCAAAATAAGTTATAGCTTCATCATTTTGACCAGTAATTGCCCCAACCTAAGGAAATGGAACACATCGCTTATTTAGATATAAATAAGCAAACATATTGCTCTTGATCCTTTTTAATTGAAACCCAGTCATAAACATTGCAAAAAGAACTCAAAGCTGGTCAACATGTACATAAGTGTATATCATAGTTGAGAAAGTGCTACCAGTCAAATATTAGTTGACCAAAGAATAGTTGAGGAACATATAAGAGATGCAAATTGAATATCTAATTACGGAAGCAATGAATTTGTTGATAACATTCCTAACCTTAGCCATTTCAAGCAATAAGTGAACATTGTTGGGAAACCGCTGTAGCAATTCTGTAAATATTTCCAGGCCACCTGCTTATAAAAAGTGGGGATGTAAGAAGACCAAAAGACTTACATAAAGAAACAAGCTTACTGGCATTTTTTCAAGAATGCCAATAATAACCATTAAATACACAGTTAAAATACTCCATAATGCCATTAACAATTTCTAAGAAACCCATAAGATGGTTGTTCTTTTTCCATAAAGAGGAAGTGACATAATGACACATAACCATCTATTCCACTGGCTTGTAGATTATATGAAAGGGTTGAGGTGTTAGGGAAAAATAATGAACCTTTGTAATCATTTGAAGCAATTAAGCATTGGGCTTCGACATAACGCTGCACATGAAACAAATAAAGGATATAACTATTACTCTACAGAAAAGTTTGTACCATAAACACTGAACATAGTGAAATCCAAAATAATAGTAACAGATGTGTGTGTGTGTTTGGAACAAATGAGAATAACATGTTATAATAGAAATAAGAACGAATGATGTATCGGATTCAAGATCTTAAGACTACAAAAGGCCAACAATGCAGCAAATAAAGATCAAAACGTAGTGTTAGTTTTGAAAATAAACCAAACTTTTCATGCCGACGCAAAAAAGAGCACGCATCAAAAGATTAAGAGCACTGTAATGAACTAATGGTGCATTGTTGGCAAGTGGTTAAAATCAGTTTGTGCATTTTAATATTTATATGAAGAGTCAATGTAATATATACACACAATATTATGGAAGATTTATAGTTTATACTTTATACTTACCATCAACCAACGGTTTGAATCAAAATGATCCAAAGGAGGTCTGCCACTTCTATTTGATGTCTAAAATAGTAAGAAAATGTCAACTCAGTATGACAAATTGACAATAACATGACATATTAGATTAATTAAAAGCTGGGCAGTTTTATTTCTTAGTTAGGCAGAAATACACAGGGTAAGTGTAACATTTTGTAGCTGAAACTTCAAAACAGTATACTTGAAGGACAAAAGAGTTATATCATTGCTATCATTAACCCATTTGTCTAAGGAACCTAGGAATAACTAGCCACTAAGTAAGTGTAAAAAACTCAAGTAAGATTTCTACATTTGGAAAAGCATTGTAAAGAATGTAAGGCATGCTGCTTAAACACTAAAACACCATTGCAACTATGGCTGAAGACTTGAAATATTTGACTTCCACTTTCTATTTACCAGTCAAACTTTCACAGTCATACTCGATCCGGAAATTTTAAATTAAAAATAAATGAACATATTTTAATGAAGTATTTTCAGTAAACACAAACCTGAGGAAAAAGTGAAATAATATCCCTTGCAGTGACACCTAGTTCTGCCAATGCAGTGATAGCCTCAACTATATAAGGACAGTGCCTATAAAGAAAATAGTACACGAATTATCCAAATGATGATTGTAGTTTTAGCAGTATTGACTTTTATCATCCTTTTCTATGAAATACAGCAACTCTCGTTAGACCAGCAGCTACATCCTAAAGTAGTATTGTAGTAACATTTAGTACATAAGTGAAGTATGACAATGGGGTGAATGATGAAGAAAATAAAACTTTTTCACCCCACAAATCATAATAAATGAACAAATCACTGTAAACAACCTTAAACACTCTTTATAACAAGTAATTGATGCACGTGTATGTTTAGAAGTTCGATAAAGTTTTCCCATCATCAAATGCATCTGCAAATTTCTAGCTTTGCTTGGGATTCCCTCCATCTGTAAATAATGTCAAAAATGAGAAGATAATAGAGCACTTGCAGCAAAGTTTATGCAACAGATATCCATTAACTAAATAATGGCAGTCACCATGATCTCAAATCTCAATACATACTCTCAAGTCTCAATTAGAGGCATAAATAGAGCATCATTGATTCAGATAACAAATTTCAATGAAGAAAACATTTCCATTAGAAAATGTGACAAACTAGATTACATGTTGGCATATATACTCACCTCAAGAAGTGCTGCTTTATTCTCATTCAATGCACAATGGGATGACGCAATTTTGAACTTCACCTGCAATGAACCAAATTTAAATATTCTAAGAACTTATACAGCAACAGTCACGGAATTGCAGAAGATCCAAATCCAAATTATAAAAAAGGGGCACTAAAGCTCAATGTACCTCATTCTCATTAATGTTTGAAATGTTGAAAGGACTTGGGGAAGAAGATCTATTTGGCGCAGAAGTTGAGTTTCTTGTTGTCACTGCGCTTTGTTTAGGGATTGTTTTATGAAATTGCAACGCTTGCTTATAGGTATGCTGCAAAAAAATATTAAACACGGTTGGTCGTTTTTATTTAGAAAAAGAATTAGGGGGTAATTTGAAGCATGCACCAAAGGCATTTTCTCACGATAGCTCTCCTGTACTCCTTTTCTAGAAATAATGCGTTTCCAAGCAGCACCTGAATATCAAGTTTTAGTAAGCATAAATTCAAAGCAAGCATAAACCAGTAAATCAACAATGCACCCAATTCAAATTTCATAAAGGTAAAAATACCAACCAAGTTTTCGGCTTTGAGATGCGGACTGGTTTCTGAGTTTATTGTCGAGGACGAAACAAGAAAGCATCCCTATTTTAAATTATATAAACAGATGTAAACACGAATTCAAATTATAAAATCCTTGTTAAAGAACACAACTTCAGGATTTCTAGTAAAAACAATATATCAAGATGTCCATAGTGAGGTTCAGATTAGTCAAGGAAGTTTACGAGCATCTGCGCGGAGGTAAAAAGGTTGTTTTCGAGCAGAATGGTCATTTGGTCCTTCGGCGCTTCCATCGACGAATGCGAATCAGGGAGGCGGATGGGACTGTGAGCTGCGGAGGTTGGCGGTGGCTGAGATTGAGAATAGGACAGAGCGCAAGGAAGAGCTGAATCCCAACCCACTCTTCGTTTTGAATTCTCTTTCAGCTTCTGAGGCATCTCGAAGTGCCGTTTGGCGACGACTACTAATTTCTCTGCTCATCCAGTTATTTTTGGTAATAATAACAAACCAAACAAACAAATCTAATAAGTGCCACTTGAAAGTGAAAATTACTTTTTTTCATTTTCATTTACCCCAGTGCCGCAAAGGCTCCCACCTACGGAGGGGTAAGGGGGGTCGGATGTACGCAGTCTTACCTCCGTACTAAAGCACAGAGAGACTGTTTCCAGATGACCCATAGTGAAAATCGCGTCCAAAATTGCATGGGCTGACTGCTACTTCATAACAAAGAAGCGCAGACAGTTTAATGAGCCATTTTGCTTTATTTCATCATATTCTCAAGCCAAAAAATAATGAATCTTTGGCTCCATTGCAAATCATGAAAAAAAAAGTGAAAATTACTTACTCCTAAATATTTTACGAGTAGAATTTTGTACGGAATATGTCAGTAACTTTTCCTGTAACTTTTACTGATATGAACATAGAGAACACACCAAGTTTTGCCCAATGTTTTACAAATTTTGTCAAATTAACTTTTAAATATATTAATAATATTTTTTAATATAAATTATTTTAAATATAAAAAATATTGTAATATGTTCCTCTCTTTTTAAAAGTTAGGTGGTGTTTGGATATGATTTTTAAAATAATTTTAAAACTGTTTCTGCTTTCTGTTAGAGTGTTTAAGTGAAAGTGTACAAGTGATTCTGGTAAAAATTGATTCTGATTTTGTTTCCGTTTTAAAAAAGAGCATCTATTTCAAACACCCACTTAATATGTTTATTATCAAAAGTATTTTCAAATATACATAAATTTTATAATATAAATTACATACAAATATTTACATTACTGTTTGTCATGACACAGCCTATTCAAACAAGCTCCATTGGAAACCGTGAAACACAGGGGGGAAATCGCAGGAAAAGGAAAGGAAACCCTGCCACGCAAACATTCTATTTCGCCTGATTCTAGCGGCCATCGCCCATCGGCGTTTTCCCATCTTCTTAACTGTTTCCCTGAGCTAAGCGAAGATTGATAAGTTTTTTTTGGACAATTCCATCAGCAGCGTGAGGTAGACTAATATACAATTTCCTCTCCATTAATTGTCACTTTGCCCACCAATTCCATTCTATTCATTTGATAGTTGAGATTACGTGTTCTTTTGCCATTACAAGATTTTAGTGGCAGATATATACATCCAAGATTCACAGTTTTTGATTGAATTCTTAACCGGTATGCAGAATTTGTTTTTCTGCTAGGTTCTAATGTATACCAAAAGCAGAACCTTTGGTGTTCATAGTAGCTGTCAATTATGTTTGGGAATTGATAATAGCCTTCGTACTCATTTACAAAAAGCTTACTTGGGTTGCTTTTCTAGATTAGCCTCTCAAAAAGCTTATTACTTTACGTTATACATTCGAATAGCTAAAAAGAATTGCTGTTAGCAAACCTATTTGCATAACCTGCGTTGCTAATTAAAGAGCTAACTTCACTCAACTAGTGCAAAGCAACATAACATTTGAGTTTACTATGTTTGGCTGATGATAAAGTTAAATTAGTTTCGATAACTGAATAATATTTGTTTAGGAACTGAAGTACTCCGTAATAATTTATTAAACCGCAAAATATGAATCTAAATATGATAACAGCTTGATGTGAATCAGAAAAGGAGCTTCGTTGTCCGAACGAATAGTGAAAGTAAAGATCGTTTTGGTACGAATAGGAGTAACAGCTCATGCAAACATCTAATTGCCAAAGAGGTTGTTCCACAAGCTCATTGCTAATAAAATATTAAATTTTCGTAAATGGCTTTTCTTTAATCTATATTGAACAGGTCATTCTATTATCCTACATCACATTTTATGAATTACTATGTATTATACTGGAATTCGTTTTAATTTCAAATCAATCTGCCTTTCAAAGGAATAGCAGACAACTATATCAAAGTTAGCAGCTCGAGTAGTTTATGAACCTATAGATTCCATTGACAAATCTTGCTTCATGGCTCATTCGAAAGAGAGTACTCAGTACCGAGGTTACAAGAGAAAGTCCAAAGTACCATCTGATCTGGCTAGAATAAGCGATGCCATAACCCAAAAATCTTGCCCAATATGTCTCTGTGAAATCAAGCCAAGACGAGTGGCGTCACTTCCCCTGTGCAGACATGTTTTTTGTGTGGATTGCATCTGCAGGTGGAGTGGTTACAAGCGTGTGTGTCCACTTTGCAAAGCCGAGTTTGGCTCTTCACTCTTCATAATTGACCTCTCCTCTCAGACCCTTGTGAAGGAGGTACTCAAAGCACCACTGGATTATAGACCTCCTACAGTAGGTTTTTCAGCACCCCAGAGAAATGCTTTGGCAGAATTGAGGTATATTTTGATTAAAAAGTTCCTATTTTTATAACTTGTGGTAATATGGTATACATGCTTTTTTGTCACTGCTTTCTCATTTAACCACTTAAATTTCCAGTTTTCTTTTTGAAGATTTAAAGTATTGATGTTCTTCTAAAAACATAATCTATTCCAAATGGCTCGGGTGTAGGGAAACAATGCCTTTCAGTACTCTAAGAACCCATTTGGAAACACTAAAATAGGTGAAACTGCAGAAGCAATGACTGAATTGGTTCAATTCTTATAAATAGTATATTTAAATTATATTTTATTAGTGAAGGAAAAAAAGTATATGGAAAAAAAGCTAAAGTGGTCCTCAGAACTCACAAGCAAATTCTGCCTAACAAGTGCCTTCAATTGTACTTCTTTTTTTCATTTTGGACCTATTTAGCGTGCAAAAAATAATCACTGTGGTAAAAATCTGGCTCATAAGCCAAAAAATGAGCTTGCCAAATGGGTGTTTAGCTTGTATAATAAGTATTCATTCTGTCATACTGAAAGGAATACTTTTGAATAAAACAGTGCATTTATTATTTAATAATAAGGTGTGAAATACTGTATATATGTGGTTGAGGTAGATGGGTTAGGGAAAGTGAAACTTTTGACGTTTAGGGGAAAATGTGATCAGGTTGATAAGAAGAAGAGCAGAACAAAATTCTCAATACTCAAGAACGAGGGAATTTCCTAGGAGGAGGTCCTTTGGGACTCCAGAAGGTTTAAACCCTGGTGTCATTAGGGAGATAAAACTTCAGTGGCGGGCAAGGTGGACACTTCATTTGAGTTGTTTCCTTTGTAATCAAATATAGGACTTAAAATTCAGTCAAAATATTCTAATATTTTCTGTAAAATATGACAATGTTTGATACTCTTCTTGCAGCATATATGAAAGGAAACTGCAGGCTGTTCCTTTCGCATCTAAAAACCGTGTTTTAGAGGTATGGCTTATCCTCTTGTTGGTAAATCTCACTCCATAATTGTTACACATACATTGATTCTTATAGATATCAGATGAATTAACTTATCCTCTTGTTGGTACATCAACATTGCATTCTTTGAAGCTTAGGGAATAATATTTCTGTACTTCATTATTTCCCAGAAAATGGAGTACAATAGTAGTGTAAAGTCAATGGTAATACAAAGAGTGGAACCTTGGATACATAGGGAGCTGGAAGCTATACTTAAGGACCCCAATCCATCTATAATTGTACATGTCGTCACCTCAGTGCTTGTCTCCACAAATGAAAGAGGGACAATAGTTTCTTCTGGAGAGCCTGGTACAAGGGATGAATTTCTTGCTCCTCTCAGGCCTTTCTTGCATGAAAAAACAGAACATTTTTGGCATGAGCTTAGGTAAATACTGCAACACTTAAGCTACTGTGTTAGGAATACAGAGCATGGAATTGGAAAGAAAAATGTAAACTAAAATAGATTTTATTCTTTATTTTTATCTGACCCTGAAAAATACAAAAGAAATTTAAATACCTTCAGAACTTTTTAGTATTTAACATGTATTTATATATCTTAGCTTTTCAATTATAGAAATGTATGAATATAGTGAGTTTGAGTAAAAACCTAAAATTAATTTCTGACGCTAGGAACACTTTTTAATTTTTCCAAAATTTTCTTTCTTTCCAAATATTCCCCATATTTTTCTCCCTCTTTTCTTTCCCAGCATATTCCAGCTTCCGAACAGACCCTTAGAGTATGTATGGGAATTGGGTTTTGGAGGGGAGGAGAAGGTTGATGAGGGTTTATGACCCTCCTTTTCATGTTTGAGAGTTCAAAAATGGAAGGGGATAGTTTTGGAGGGCTTTTGTAACCTTTCAAAACCCTCTCAATGCTCAATTTTTAAGTTCCCCCAATTTTGAGGGTTTTGAAGGGTAATTAACAAAATGATATGTTTAGCTCAACTTAAAATGAATATCAATTCAATTATTAGAATTCGTCATATGTCAAAGTGATTTTAATTATAATTCCTTCAAAGACTCTCTTCTTCCAAATTTACTACTCCCAAATACAAAGACCGGTTTCCTCACCTTCCCCTCCCTTTCCCCTCCAATAAGTCTTCCCCTCCCCTTCCCAAACATACCCTTAGTCACTTTCATGCTTCTTTTTTACTTGCCATAGTGATTGTGTTTGAATGGTTAATTCAATGTGCAGATGTTTTGCTCAGAGCTGTTTCTCCATTGAGACATATGATAGTGTGGTGGAGTACAGATCAAACCGAACCTAGAGAAAAATGATTGTATATTAGAGTAGTCCCCCCTTAAGAGTCCATGGATTTCTTGAAATGTCTCATCCTTTTGTATTTTGTATATCGTCTGCAATTAGTTCCACAAGCTGATGAGTCGAACAAGCCAGAAAGGGAACATGTATTGCATTATTGGTGGGTATATTATCTGCTGTTATTTCTGCCTTAGTTCTGCTTCTCTAGTTCTCTTTAGGTTGCATGCAAATATTTTTGAATGTGAACCAACTTCACACATGAATACATGATTGTCATCACAATTGGGAATGAAATCAGGGAGCACTAGATGGTTATCCTATGCGCAGATGCAACAAATCAAAAGGCAAACTTTTCTTTATAAGCCCGAAAATGTCTTATATAAGTAATGATCAAGAAAAGTTTCACAACACGGGATTATTATGCCAATTTTACAAGGTTGAGGCTTTAACCCCTTTTCACTGACAAATGCTGCTCATTTTTTGTGCTCATTATTTGATGACATCAATGTGACACGCTCAAAAAGGAGATTATAGAGTTGAAATCATCCCACTTTAAGAATGTTTACATTTAATAAAGAGAGATTACTTATACTAAAAAATGATTTTTAAAGTGATTCTGAAGAAAGTGTTTAATAGTAAAGATGGATAATGTTTAAGAAAAAAATGATTTCGAAATAGTAAAAGTTGGTAGTATTTGTAAAAAAAAAGTGCTTCTTGTAGTAGAAAATGTGAAAAATAATTTAAGCTGCCCTTTATTAGCTTTCAACTTTGAGCTTTGAAGTGCTTAATTTTAGCTTTTAGCTTTTACTTCTTTTTTGAAGTAAAAGTGCATCCTCATTTCTCAAGCATATCGGTGCTTGCTCAAAACTAGAACTACATCGGAGGTAGAAACGCATGTCGGCCGCCTTTGCTAAAGCACAAGTAATAAGATAATTGCTTATAAAATAAAATATTAAAACTAATATGATTTTCAAGAATAAAAAATATCATCTAAAATCAACTGAAAATTGGAAAAGCAATTGAAAATTGGAAAAGCCGTTTTCTTGTTGAATTACTTGAATACTTCGAACTACTACCAGTGGTAGTTTACCACCAAAGCATTTCTTTCAACCTTTAATGTCAACCTGATTGCATAACTTAAACCAGTGCCGCTCTCACTCCTATGGTTTCATTTTCAGCCGGCGACCAACAAGCTTCCTTGGACTCATTGTAGCCTCAAATAAAATCGACATTCTCATCTAAAGCAATATGGTCCTAAGACCGAATTCCACGAGCCTCATCAACCGCGCTACCTACGTTAATCTTGATTCACCGCGCTTGTTTTTTGCCATCTTGACACCCTCGAAGCCCCCGCTTGTCCAAACAATGTCGTTGCAGCATTTTCACAAGCTCCAAAGAGTCATCACAAATTTGCATTGTCTCCCTTGTCAGAAGATCTCTTATATAACTCTTCTAAACTCCCCATTACCCAATCTTAAAAGCTATTAGCCTCATTGCACAAAATGCCCCACCCCACTTCCTACCAAATAGTGGTCACATTTGGACATGTCTTTAATGCATGATTCATGTTTTCATTGTTGTTCCCACATAACTTACATATAGGTAAGATTTGAACACCTCTATTACATATAGGAAGACAAACCACCACGACTTGTTAAAAGAAAAACTTTATTTTAGGAGGAATGTTAAAATTCCACATTCGGGTCCAACTTTCTAAATAGCTTGATTGTAATTTCCAAGAAGGTAGCAATAACATCTCTTTACTGAAAAATTTCTGTCTTGATCTCCCTTTCATAAAAAGGCATCTTCATAGGATAACAATACTAATTGGAAAACTTAGTATTTGTGTGGCCTCCTCTAGAGAAAATAAGTTGGTTACCTTAATTAGATTCATGCCATTTTGCCATCTACTTGCCTCAGAGCCGCTACATTCATATCATATCCCATATGGTTTAGGAAATTGGACCCACCTTGAATTGGTCCATGGGAGCCAAACATTAGTCCAAACTCATGTTTCCTTATAATTGCCAACTCTCCTACGAATATTATCTAAAACAACCCTTTGTGCCACCAGAATACTTCTCCATATAAAGGGAGAATTAACTCTAACCTTGCGTCCAGAAAGAAAGTATCTGGATGGTAGCGGACTTTAAAAATTCTTCCCATCAAACTAGTTTTATCAAATGTTAATTGACAAGCTTGTTTTGCTAACATAACAACATTAAACTCTCTAATCCGTCTGAAACCCAACCCATCGTCTGCCTTGGGTCTGCCTTGGGTCTACACAAAGCATCCCAAGCTTTCCACCCAATCTCTTTTCCCATATATTACATCCCTTTCACCAAAAGTAGTTTATTAGTTTTCCTGAGAAAATGATAGTTGAAAATACTCATTTTAGGTCAAAAATTGAAAAACAATTTTTTTTGTTCTTGCAAAGAATTCAACCATCCTTATGTTAAAATAGTTAAATACGAAGTACATAGTAGTAAACAAAAAGTTTAAAAGCTCGTTTGGTATCATGAAAATCGGCTGATTTGGCCGATTCTGCTGAAATTTATGAAGTTCTAGCTGAAGTGTCTATATTGGATGATTCTGCTAATTTAAGAAAACATTATTTTTAAAATACGCAGTATATTTTATTAATAAAATAAAGAAAAAATTAAACAGAGTATGTAAAATAGCTAAAATGGTCATCTACATTAATTTCAGTCAATACAGTCAGAAAAATAACTTCCCGGCATCGCGAGCTTTAATCGCATCGTAAAAGCCCAAAACTTCATTGTCGGCCAGTGGCAGCTCCCAAGGTTCAGGCTTCAGTCAAGAAGAGGTCAATAAACCAGGCTTCCAAGGCTCTTCACCAACCCTCACTGTGCCATAGCTAAAGCTCCTCACTTGCGCCATTCGCGGAGGTAACTTGTTTGCTCTTACCCTTCTTCACCAGTGACAAATGTTCTCTTCAGTTTTTCTGATTCATGATTTAGTTCTTTTTAGGTTTTGTTGTTTCTTGATTCTGTTATATTTTAAAATTTTGAATTGTAAAGTACATATTTTGATTTGATTGTGTATAAGAACAGTGTTCACTCACCATTCACCTTTGATGTAGTTTTAGCTACTTGAAAATTTTCACTAATATCTTCATATTTTCACAATCATGTGATTTAGAGAAAACATGTTGTGCAAATTTTGGTTGCTCTGGGGCATTGCTCGTGTGGTTGATCTCTTCAGCATAGAGTCTGTACTTTTGCTCATCTTCTTCCCCATATTCATTCATACTGAATGGGATAAACTTCTTAACACCATTACTTGTTAGTTTGACGGTTTGACGGCCCAAGTAGTTATGCCCATTGATTGGGTTGGTCGATAATCTGTTTGCCAATAGGTTAAAGTAGGTCATAATTCAGAGAATGGATTCACTTGAGTTAGAATCTTAACTCTTAAAATGTTTTTTGGAGAATATATTAATATTATCTTTTGCATGAATTTGTTATAACTTTGTTTAGGTTTGAGTGAATTAAACAATAAAACATTATGTGTGACATTCAACACTGGATGAGCGGGACGAGTGGTTCACCTCACTTGACTGAGGCTAATAATTTCAATCGAAGTGAATCGATTTATTTATCATAATATCCAAGCAGAGCTTTAGGAATTGATTACTCTACTTAAAGCCATATCTAGTTGTTATCAACTTATCACTACTATTGGCCTATTGCTATCTTATACTCCGTCTATAATAGTATCTTTAATGTGGACTTTTGCAGTATATTGTTATGTCTACACTTGAGCAATTTTTTTTTTTTGCATGAAGTGAGCAGTAAATATATTTTACTGTTACCTTAAGTAAGTTTCAAGCTATCAATTGAATTCATAAGTTTGTCACTTCCTCAATTTCGTAAATTGTATTTGTGCATTCAAAATATTGTTCATATTATACATTGTTGCGATTAGAACTAATGAGATACATTGGTATCATTCTGCTACAAGTTGGTCCTGGAATTTAATTTTCTTGTTTCTGATACAGCAAAGCTACTTAAAGTTGAACATTCCATATTCGATTTGAAGAGGTAGAAGCAGTACTTGTTAAGAGTAAGACTATGGGTAGTCAGAGAATAGGAGAAGAAGATGATAAACAATCAAGATCTCTGGGGATGCAAGAGACAAGCCCATTTAATAGTACAAGTTGGGTGGGGAAGATTCAAGCGCAGTACAACAAGATAAAAGAGAATGCAGAAACTTACCCTTATGTCTGGGGTTCATATATTGCTGTGTACGGGGGTTTTGGCATATGGCTTGTCTATAGAGGGATGAAACTCCGCAGAAAAGAAGATAGGGTCCGAGCTCTTCAAGAGCAACTCCGCAAGCTCGTTGAGTCTGAAGAGCATGGAAGTTCGTCAGCTGCTACTGGCTCTAACAGTAAGCACTCACCACATGATAAACCCACTGATTAAATTATCTCGCTGACCTGTATTCTCTCTCAGTCTATTCTTTATGGCCTTTGCCTGACATTTTGGAAGAGATTCTTCACATTGAAATGTAAAGAACTAAAGCCCAGCTAAATCTTCTTATTCCCACATGTATACTTATTTGGGACTTGGGAGAGTAAGTATACATGAAAATTGGGATTTTTGATCATCTGCACAAAACATCATGGTTATTTTTGTAAAACAGATACAAAGAAAGTAGACTTACCTCACCATTATATTCCTGAACTTGACGAGTATTGAATACTCTGATTTTTGGCCATTCTTCATTCAAAAAATGCGTCAAACCCCCATTGTATAATTAATGCTGCACATGGTTTTGTTTCAAGTTTGCATTTGGTTTCACACACGAGCGCCCTCTTATATAAAAAAATATGCGCATTGGCCATTCATCATTCAGAAAATGCGTCAAACTCCCATTTTATAATTATTGATGCACACAATGCACAAGAATGACAAATTTAGCGGTCGTGAAATTGCACACCTTTGGTGTTTGTATATTAAAGCGCAAATATTGAAGTACTATTTGAATCACAGGCTCACCGCTAAGAAAAGTTGGTTGAAGAAGTTCTTTTTCATTTTTGAAGGAAATACATTGTGTTCAGCCTATGATGTTAATCTTTCCTATCTTCTCAAGGTCATGACTCATGAATGTCCAGTTAATTTTGTTTTAATTTGATGATCATGTAAATGTTTATGCTTTAGCTTACTGTGTGAACTTCGTCTGCTGGATGCTCCTTGGTGCGTTTTCTGTGCCTTTTTTATTTGTTTGGATGTTTACCATATTTTATATAACTGCAGCTTGTGAAAAGGGTTTACAAGTCTTTTTTTTTTTTAAAAAACCGGTAGGCAAACCACCAAAATCAATAGAATAGATGTCGGGAAACATCTGCCAATGTTTTATTGAAAAATATAGAAACATACAGAACCAGAGGGGGGGCCTAAACCACAACGGCAAAACCTCTACGGGGAGGCATACCTCCCGACAAATACATTAATGCAAAAAAAAAAAAAGATAAAGAGAAAAACTTTAGCGATCAACATATAAAACAATAAGACAACAAAATAGATAAGCTATAAAGACAACAAAATATCAGACACGCAAAGTAGGAAGAGCATCTATATCTAATAGGAGAAGTGTCTTGACTAAGAGGAAACGGGTGAAGCTGAGTCCTTCCAAAGCCATCCTATGAGCAACCATATTAGTTTCCCAATAGCAGTGATTAATCCGGAACCGTAGTTTCCATTTTCGATCGAATAACATCAAGGAGCAGATGATGGGAAGATATGAAATCTTTCTTTCAGATGGCCTTATGAAGTGTCTCCGAATCAGTCTCCAAGTGAATCCCAGTTGTCCCCATATCTCTGCACCATTTAAGAGCCTCCATGACAGCTTTTGCTTCCTCTTGCAGGACCGATCTCACCTGAATGGGAACAGCTGCAGCAGCTAAGAAATTACCCTTTGGATCTCGAAGAACAGCTCCGCCACCACTTTTGCCATTCTGAAAAGCCGCATATTCATCATCTAAAGCTGGCCCATATACTTAAAATTGAATAAACTTAAACAAGTTAATGAAGGACTGTTTGTGTTTGGAAAGTGATTTATTTTAGAAAGTATATAAAAAAATGTTTAATTGTAAAAGCTGGTCAGGTTTGAAAGTTAAAAATTACTCCGTATTTATTAAAGTAAATATGTTCATTCTTCAAAAAAAAAAGTAAATTTGTTAAAAAAGTTTTTTTTTAAGTGTAAAATCATTGGTAAAAATCAAATTTGGTGAATGCTTTTGTAGTATTGTACCCTTTGAATGAGTGTACTGTACAATGTATTTGATTGACCGAAGTGATTATTTTATCATGTATTTATTTGTACAATGCATTTGATTGACCCAAGTGATTATTTTATCATGTATTTATTTTTGAGTTATTCAATTGAAATATTTTAATTGACCCACATGGATAAAATGTCGTGCTTTGTGAGTATCCTGGATTCGTAGAATTTATTGAAGTATTTTTCAACAAGATATTCACTGACCCGAAATCCGGACCCCCCCCCATCCGGACTCCCCCCCATCATGGACTTTCATATTCTGAGGAAAGGTTGAAATCTGAACTCTTTGTTTTCCTCACCCAAAAATGCTTTGGGCTAGTGAAGCTTGAGAACTTGAAGCACTAAGCACTAAACTTTGGGCTGTTTAGTTTTTTTTCCCTCTTTCTATTAAGTCATGTTTGGATTAAAATGTCTATCTGAATTAAAACATTTTTGGATTAAGTGGTATTTATAAATGAGGATGTTTATTTAGTGTGGTAAATAAACCGTCTTAATTGAGTCAAGTAATCGATATATGGTATTATTCTTGAGTTATAATATCAATGAAAAATTTATTTTATTAGCATCAACCTATTCCACAATTGATTTTAAAAAATGACAGAGAAAACGTGTTAATGGAAAGGACTATTGTTTTTCAGTTGAGTGATTGAGTCAATTTTTGACTGAATGATTAAGTTATGCTTTCAATTAAGTCCTAGGTAGACTTGACTTAATTGTTGAATGATTAAATAGTTATTCTCACTACTTACATGAAGTCCACAACATAAAATGGACATGATCATTCAATTCAGTTACTCCGAATTGGTTAAATACACCTTCTTCCCATGTATTATTGTTTGGGAAAGTAATTTTAAATAATACTTCCTTCTTTTCAAATTGAGTTACAAAATTGAATTTTTGGGTCAAATAGCTCATTTTATTCACTTAATTAGGATATCAATTCTTATTTAATTTTTTTATTTCGAATTTTTCAAATTATTAAAATTGATTTTATTATCAATAAAAATGATTTAACTTTAACATTGATTGACAAAAAAATATAGACTTTGCAAAACAATTTGGGTCGGAGGTAATACAAGTTATCTTCCATGAATCAAGAATAATACTTACTTTAGCAATAAATTTTAATAATATACTTCGTATAACATAAGTGATATAGAGTAGTTTTCCACTAAAAATGCGGTCATTTAACTCATTAAAAAACTAATATCAAAATATCAAATAAGTGATGATATTTGCAAATATCATTAAATTAATGGTTTGATATATGTTTTTGATGTCTTAAATGACTAAATTTCTTATTGAAAAGAGGTTTCATGTTATTTTTGTTATATACGGAGTATACTTAGATAGTTGATATTATTAGAAATCATTTTCAAAGTATGTATTGTTATTAATTAGTAGGTGATCTTTGATACCCCCTCCATCTAATTTTACCTGTTTTACATTTCTTTTTTAGTTGTCCCAAAATAAGTATTATATCCCTTTCTGGAAAATAATACTAGTATATGATTCACAAACATGTTACTTTATTATACTCTAATCTCAACCATAACTTTTATTTCTTCAAAAATTTTATTAATAATTGTTTCAAACCAAAACACGACACATAAAATGGGAAAAACATAATACGATAGTATTATTTAAAGCTCTTTTTGCCTTTTTTTACACATGGTTGATGATTTATACTACGGATATAAGTTGTTATGAATGTGACTGTTCACATGATAACATGTTTCACCTGCGGTCAATATATAAAAAATAATAATATTTCATCCGTCCCACAATTAAGTTCTCATTTTGATTTTTACAGTCTTCTAGGTGAACATTTGACCCTAAATATCTAAAAACCTAATCTTAAAACCGGTAATGAATTAATACGTGAATAATATATATTGAAATGAAATATATAAAATTAAGTTTGTGTGCCATAACAATGTAAATTTTGAATAATTAGCAGTCTAAGTTTCTTGGAAAAATAAAACTTTGAACTTAATTGAGGGAAAAACCCAAGGAGGTAGGATATGTACGATCTTAAGAGAGAATCAAACATTTTAACTAAATAAGTATTGTTACTATTTTTGTATAGTAACTATACAAAAATCAAACATCAAACATTTTTGTATGTTTTTGAACTATACAAAAACATGCAAACAAAACTAAATAAGGCAACTAAATAAGGAATGTTATTGTTACTATTATTGTTGTGATTACTACTATTAGACGGAAGGTTTTTTATAATAAAATTTAGAGAAAATGGTCAAATAAGGTCACTTACTATCCTCAAACCATCACATAGGCCCATGTACTTAAATAAGTGTCAATTATGTCCATCTACATGTAAAAATCTACTACGTATCATTTAAGACCAATGACCGGATGGTGACTTGTTGTAGCAAGTCTCTTGCTTAGGTGTCATTTTTTTCAGTTTTCTTCCGGATTCCTTTTTCTTTTAATTTTTTTATGTTTTCCTTTAATTTTCTTTTTCCTCTCATCCCATTTCCTTAGGGTTTAATGTATCAATCCCACTCGTGATATAGATGTTCAGTGCATTAGCCTTCTGTGATTTGAAAAATGCATCAAATCTCCTTGTGTTTTAATTAATCATGCACAAAACCGCTTTTATGAATAAATTTAACGGTTTGGAAATCACTTTTCCTAATATTCTGATTGAATATACAAGTAAATATGTCAAAATCTCTGAATCATACATAAATGTTAATCATTTTTCTTTTATTCGACAATCGGATTTGTTCACAGAAGGGATTTTGCCCATAATTAATTAAAACACAAGGGGATTTGACGCATTTTTCAAATCACAAAGGACTAATGCGTTGAATTTTTATATCACGAGGGGGTTTGGTGCACTAAACCCCATTTCCTTAACCCCTTCATACATATCTAGCATCGTATATATACCTAAAGGGGGAAAGATCAAGTACAAACTGTGCTTATTGTGCAAATGTTTGTACGATGCACCTTGACGTTATTTGTATTGCATATTGAGATTCAGAGTGTTGCATATTATATAGTCATAAAATAACAGTTGCACATTAACGTTCAACGAGTTGCACACTTGCACCCTAGAAAAGTTAGGTTTTATTACAAAAATGTCAACTTGCCTTTATATCCTTTAGATCAACTAATCGGATGACCAAGATAAGTTTGTACTTTTTAAATTAAGTATGGTTTGTATTTGATCTCTATTCTACCTAAAGTTGCAATTTAAAAGCAAACATTGTTTTTTTATTCATTCCAGTAGTTGATTTGTGCCCCTTGACCAATTCATCAGCGGCGGACCGAACACATGAGGTCCCCGATAGTCCGATACCATGACTTAAAAAATTTCATCTGAGAACATGGAATAGTAGAAACAAAGTCCCACAAGATTGTAGTTTCTGAGAGCAGCGAAAATGATGACAATGGCGGAAATTGAAAAAGAATGGCCCGAAATTCAGTCCAAGAGTAAGAAATATGGGTGGACCGGTTCCGGTTCGGGCCCGGTTTGGGCCTGGGCCCGACCGGGCCTCGATTCAGAAATGGGAGGCCCGGAACCGGCCCGGGTAATCCCGGGTCCGAGCCGGGCCGGGCCTCGGTTCCATTTTTTTTTTGGCTTTTCCTAATTAACCCCCAACCCTCCCCCCTCACCCCCAAACCACCTCAAATGGCCCAAAATACCAAGCCCAACCCAAAAACTAAAAAAAAAATCAAAAAAAAAAATAATAATTTGGCCCAAACCGGCCGGGCCGGTTCACCAATCATAGGGCCCGGGCCTGAACCGCACAGTAACCGGGCCGGGCCGACCCGAACCGCCCCCGGACCGGTTCCCGGGCTAGGCCGGTTCAAACAGTAACCGGGCCGGGCCACCCGGCCTTAGTCCATCCCTAGTAAGAAACTAAAATCTTGGAAGGAAAAAATGGTGTTGGAAGGAGATGTTTGATTATTTTCACAAACTTCTCCATTCCCAGATTATCAATCTCAATAGGATCGTTGATGGAGTTGCTTAAGAAGGCCGTGCAGACCCAGAAAGAAAAAATTAAAGATGAAATGAAAATAATGAAGAAAAAGTAAAACTAAAAGAAAAGAAAACTTAAAGAAATATATAAAATACCACATCAGCAAAGAACCTGCTAAATCAGGTCAGGTCTATGGTCTTAAATGACGGTTTTTTAGGTGTAGATGAATGTAAATGACACTCATTCAAGTAGAAGGTTCTAAGTGATGGTTTAGAAATAGTAAGTGATCTTATTTGATCCCTTTTTCTGAAATTTATGACAGGACAAGTTGCTTACACCATAAAAATTCTTTTGACTTTTTTCTTAAGAGAGATTTCTCAAAATATGAGTAATGGAGTTTGGAATTCAAAAATAGGATTACTATGTTTTATTCCTAAAATAGGACTAACATTGCATCATGTATTGCCATCTTATAGGTGTGACTGCCAAATATTTACACTACAATGCATTTAAGATAACAATATTTATTATAACTAATGACAGTGTTTTTAAATCATGACAATAACAACTCCTATTTTGAAAAGAAAAATATAGTAATCCTATTTTAGAATTCCAAACTTCATTCATTCCTATTAAGGGCAATCCCTTTTCTTAAGGAGGATTTTTTTGAGTACTCAATATCAAATGTAAATTGTTATACAAACATAACTTTTGGATATAAATATCTTGAATATTACATCAATTTGGCAGTTAAAAATGATGGAATGATTGAATTGATACGGATTAAATAGAATAAAGACTAAATGAAAGATTATTAGTTTAGGAACCAAAATGATATAATATTAATAGTTTAAGAGTCATTTGTGCATTTTACCCGTCATCATCACCTAAGTGCCACAAAGACTTCACGGCAATGCATTTTACTCCTAACACAAATTAATAGTTTAAGAAAAAGTTTTGTTTGATAGATCATACAGTCAAACTCCAAGTTTCTAATTATTCCCAAAGTTCTATTTTTTCATAATATAAAATTAAAAACAACATAACCGATCACATTTCCTTGTTCCAGACTTCAAAAAATATGAAAATATGGGAAACAAAAAAACGGAGCAAGAAGAAACATCAAAGTGATCAAACATATTCGAACACTTCCAAAGTTCCAAACAAGCACCTCAGAATACATGTATTTTAATCAAGGAGAAGAAAAATCTTGAATTCTCCATACAGGTTCAGAGGAAAACAGCAGTCACATCATGGAGCCTAAAATTTCTGATCTGTGCAAACTATCATCACAAGATCAAAGCCATCTCCAAACACAACTTTTATTTTTACATTATGGTGCAGCCACCTTTTTCCGCTACTGGTTGTGCGGTAGTTTGCTGGTAGCGGTTTGGATCAGATGGATTGTATGTGAACTCCGTAGTATCAAGCCCATACTGTGTTCATGCAGAAAGAGAAAAGCATCAATCATATTGGAGGAGACAACTATGTTCAACTCAAAGTGTCAAGGTATTGAAACACACATTGGGCAAATGATATTGAAAAATGACAAATATTTTACAAATGAAATTGTGAAAATAGACAAAATATGACTTTTAATACGCATAACTATAGTAGTACTTTTGAGAGAAAGACGAATTTACGGGATTTTTTTGTCCTTGTTCCCAAAATACGAAGATGGCATTTTATGGACGAAAACACGGGAGTCGGAATTGTGAAATCCGACTTTGAGGCATTCCTCTCTCCGCTTTCGGATTTAAGAAATCCAAATAGGCATTTTAGATGTTATTAAATGGCAAGTGGGTTTAATTGAGTTCAATGTTATACGAAGACACGAAGTAATAATAATATTTTAATATACGTGTATAATAATATATCAGATTTTGTAACTTTAGAACATTATTAAATACGGAGTACGTTATAGATTTATTATTGTTTAGGTATTACTAGGTATTATTTATAATAACCCAAAACTAGTTTTAATTACTACATATAAGGTTTAACTATGTTTTTTAGTCCTTCAAAATATGGTACATGGTACATTTATTTTATGTACTTGTAAAAAAAATTGTTTTTCGCTCTTGACATTTAAGGATGTTTTCTTTAGGACTGAAATTTGTTGGTCTGGTTTGGTATGATTTGGTCTGTCAGAATCTGATGTGGTCTGAACTGATCTGATATGGTCTGGTAAATGTCAGGTCTCAGTGTATTTTATAACTATGAAAATTTGATATAGTCTGATCTAGTCTGATCTGTTTAAGACTGATTTGATCAGGTTTGATCTGGTCTAGTTTGGTCTAGAATTAAAAATTAAAAAGAAAACATGCAAAAAATTAAAAAGTTCTCAAATTTTTATGTTTATAATGATTATTTAAAAAATCCTATTAGCAAGGATAAGAGAAAAGGTAGAATAGGAAGAGTCAATCCTATAGGAAGAGTCAAATTTTTGAGGAATAGTCCTATTTCGGGAAATCTCCCTATCATTACATATGTATATCCAGTATTACAACCACTAACCTAACAATTATTTTTTCTTATTTAATACTACGTAAAATATAATACACATCTTTCCAACTACAAATATCCATAAATTTATTTATTTTTGTACATATTATCTTAGAGGGCGTTTGGCAACATTGTTTTTCGCCTTATCAGGCTTATCAGCCAACTTTTTCACCAATCGCGTAATTTTTTCTTTCGCGCGCTAAATTGTGTAATAAACAGAAAAAGTAAGGTTGGAGTTGCTTTTCTGGCTGTATTGACTGACGTCACGGTAGATGATCATTTTAGCTATCTTTACATATATATTTTTTCTTTATTTTATTAATAAAATATATTTTAAAAATATTTTTTTCCTTAAATCAGAAGAATCAGCCAATGAAGGTACTTAGCCAGAAGTTCATAAATTTCAACAGAATCAACTATATCAGCCAATTTTCATGCTAACAAACTGGCTCTTAATCAATCAAACCCACTGACATTTTTTATTAAATTATTTGTGTTATCCTATTTAAAAAAAAATAACTAAACCATCTAAATAAACTAAGAAATTCTTTTAAAAAAATATAAGGAGCCGAATTATAGATTATAGGGTCCACGTATATTAAAGAACCAAGAAGATTTTACTAACCTACTCAACTTAGTCAACTAACTATACAAGGACGGACGTGAGTTTTTTTTTTAAGAATTAAAAAAAACTTTCGGATTCCTGGTATCCGTTTCCTAGCTTTGCCTAGGTTAACATGTAGAACCTAATACTTTCGGATTAGACAAACACGTTTCCCGTGTTTTCAAAAAAAGCAAAAAAAAATCCCGTATTTTTGCCACTCATGTAACTTATTCCCGTAAAATGAGAAATCACCCAGTACTTTTTGCATTGATAGTAGTGAATATGTATAATATTTTCCCCAAATAATTCTATTTTAGTGACATTATAGGAAAATCCCCATCATACTTTTAAGCCTATAAGCTTTTGAGTTTTGAGAAGCCAAAATGAGAAAGGCTTGAATTGTGAAACTGGAATGCACGAGAATTGGACATACATATACACAAAGATGGTTTGGAAAAAAACCCATAGGATCAAACTTTTCTCTTAGTTGTTGTCATATATGCACTTCAATTTCTTTCATTTCATTAGCACTCCCTTATCCCATAAAACTTGACCAAAGTTGACTTTCACCAAGAAAGAAAAGGTAAGAAAGTATGTGTGGTTATATTTCTGCCAAGGAGAGAGAAGGATCACAGATTTTTTACTTGAAAAGGAAATGGTAAAGTTTTTGGGACTAAATAAGGAAAGTTGGGAAAGTTTAATGGGACAGAGGGGGTATCGTTTTTCCTAGTTGACATTAAACTAAAACATTCAAGCGAGTTTGGGATCGGAAATATTGAGTTTAGCACATCAGCTACATGCTAAAATGAGTTTAGCATAAATTAAGTGACATATTGGGTTATCATAAGAGCTATACAGACACAGCAGACATCAGGAGAAAACACAGACACACATGGAGAAACACACACGGACACAGAGAGAACTGTGAAACTAGGAATTTATGGTAACAATTTTTATTACACCAAAGGTAAGAGAATGATTTAAGAATGAATACGGTGGAAGGAAACTATTTAGCTTAATAAAAAATGTGAGTGATAATATCAAACTTAAGAACTAATTGGGACAAATCAATGTTTTTAATAGTAACATGGTTGAAGATTTTATGATTGAAGACCAGAAGTACAGAAAATAAAAGTTGCCAACAAATATGTCATTTAGCTGCTTAAGACAGGTAAAAATTCTTAAATTCTCATTTATTTCTTACAGCCACAAAAACGAAGTAAAGAAAAGCTATTTCAAATGAATAAATTCAAGGAATGTTTCAACAGTTGTATAAAAAAAGTCCCTTTAGATCCAAAAAGAAATTGAAAAGAACAGAAGGGAGAAGACATAAGAGAGAGAAAACTAATGAAACACAGAAGGTTAACAAACAAATAACACAGAATACTGAATACCCCAAGAGGCAGATGGGGTTTTAGTTAGCTTTACGCCCTTTGACTAAATCCTGTACGAATATATCAAAAATTGGTCGCGATGAATTTAGTCCATCACCTAAGGACCATGTTATTTGGTTGCACCAAGGAGGGAGTTAGTGGGGCATCTTACTGTGATGAAGAAATTCTTGTACTTCTCTGGTGAACTGGAGGCTCGTGTGACTACATTACTTATGAGAGGTTAAGAAGTATGGAAATATAATTCTTCTTATTGATAAGGTCTGTACTCTAATTGATTCTGACCCAGATGGGAGAGGAAGCATGGGTTCTGGACTTGGATTTGCTAATCTGTTAAGGCCATCACTGGGGTTTCAACCTATAAGGGTTCATGAACAGAGCCAGGAGGATACTGTCCAGATACTGCCAGGGCTGCGTGAGAATGATGAGTATCGTAAGTGTAAATATACTTATGAGGCCATAACAGCTGCTGTGCAACTTTCAGCTAGATACAAGCCTGATAGATATTTTCCAGATACAGCCATTGATCTTATTGATGAGGCTGGATTAATGAAGTCTATCTTGAAGCCTGATTTTAAAGTTGACCAGTTTTTGGTTCTGGATGTGGAAGGCTGCAATTTGGTATTTTCTGCAATTCAGGACTCCTCTGAATCTGGGCTGAGATGGACTGATGAATTTGCTCTTGGTAGCAATGTTGAAGGAAATGTTCATAAAATAAAGGAGTTTGGTGCGGTTATCACTTTTAAGAATCGGGAAACCAATATGTTCATGCTTATTCTGCCCGAAATTCATCAAGATCCGGTCCCTGAAGCTCGTTTTGTTGCTGCAAGAGCTATTGGCTCGCTTATAGGGGAAAGGAAAGAAGAAAACTTGCCAGCCAGACTTGGGACTTTGGCGGATAGAGAATCTGAAATCGCATGGCAGCACTGTTGTGCACAACTTCTGTTGGCTGTTGAAGTTTTATAAGAAAAATCCTGCTATTACAAATGGAGAAGTTTGCATAGGGCTTGTTACAGACAATGAGTTGAGTAACTTGAGTAACATCAAATTTGCATCCAGCACATTCATAGTCTCGGAAGTGAGAATCCTTGAGGAGTCTAATGAAAACAAGGAAACACTTGTAGTTAGTGAGTGCTTGAAGGCTAATGCAACAAATAAAACTGCACTCGACATGTCTACTGCAGCAGCACCATCAATGATTTTGAAGGAACAAGCATGAAAGCTTCTGTGCCTGCCAGCAGTGAGGTTTTGGGAAGGAAGAGGCGCGAGGATGAAGCTGGATGGCACGGCTGCTATTACTCCCCACCTTGAGGACAAGGTGGTTGTCAAAGGGGAGAGTGATGATAGGACCTGGACTTTTGGGGTAAATATTTTAATAAAATGTAATAGTGGGCTGGGCCAAGTAATTAGATAGATTGAAGGAAGCCTCATTTGGAAAAGAATAAATAGAGGGAATTGAAGAGGGAGAAGGTAGGCAGAAATTGGGTTAGGCTCTGGATTTGGGGGAGAGAGACACTCTCAAAATTGTCTCATTATCAATTCCTTACTGTTCATTTTCGATTTCTTCTGCGTTCTACTTTCTACTGTAATCTCTCAGGAGATTTAATATACAAATATTTCTTATAATCTTCTCTGAAATCACTGGTTCGGAACAATGTGTTAGAATAATCATAAACATGTGGACCTAAATTAGCAATGGTTAATGTTACAAATTGCATCATTATATGCATACAAGTGCATGTCTCTATGTCTACTACCTAGTATGGCACTAATTTAGTCATGCACATGTTTCAATGCAGACAACTTCACTGTTTGCATATGCCAAATCCCTTTCGACTTCATGTTCTCATTAAAAGCTCCCATTATAAACTCATCCCACTCTTTTTTCTCAAAGAAATAACCAGAAATACTTGTCTAAGAAATTAATTTTAATTATTCAAGTAAAAAGTATTTCTTATATGAAAGATAAAATTATTCTGGGTCACTGCTTTGAAAAAATGGAATAAAAAGATTGGATTTTTTTTAAAACACAAATGGCACAAGTGTAAATATGGAAGATTTTTAATAAAAAACAAGGTGACAAAAATGCATTGTTGCATACATAAAGTGCACTTATACATTATAAATGTGTACAAGTGTCTTACATAGAATGCACAACGCACAACACACATGACAAGGTAACGTCATAACATTTCTCTAAATGCACAAAGTACACTTATATATAAACCATAATGCACTTTGTGTCATTACCGTTGAACATTAAAATTTCACATATTTATGATTCTACCACCGTATGTGTTATTGAACATTTAATCTAATTCATCCATTTTTAAGGGGTGAAAGACCTACATTTATTTTCAAATGCATGGTCTTTCATATGAACATTCAAATACATGATTCGCGTGAGCATTCATATACACACACAGGTCTATGTGTGTGTGTATAAGTATATGCATACCTGCATGCATGCATTACATACATAGGATGTTTTCTTTTGGACTGAAATTTGTTGGTCTGGTATGGTCTGAACTGATCTGGTAAATGTCTGGTCTCTGTGTATTTTATAACTATGAAAGTCCGGTCTGGTCATCTGGTCTGGTCTGATCTGGGACCGAAAACAGTCCAAAAGAAAACATCCATAATACAGAGTATATATACTCAAAAACCAAAACATCATAACTTGATGGCAAACCTTTTCTCGCATGCGTGCACTCCAAGCATCACTACGACTTGGTCGTGAATCAAGGGTACCAGCAGCAGGCACACTTGAAGGTTGAGTTGGTGGCATGTTGTTGATTAGTGGCTGATGGAGCTGTCTTCTGGGACCAACATACTCATCATCACTATCATAGTCTGCTGGTGCGTTTGCTGCCCTTACCACAAGGGCTAACAAGAATATAAACGCCTGTAACAAAAATACAATACAGTCAATTGGCTGGCTTTTTATCTGGCTTTTTTTCTCTGTGATTCTTTTTCACAAACGGATGTTAGGGCTCAAAGAATTCTCATGATGCTGATAGTAAGAGTAGGTAAAATATCATATATACCAAGTGCGTTTATCATATATATAAGTTTTATTGATAGTAAGAGTAGGTCAAAGGTGTATCATATATACCTCCAAAACAACTGCCCCAAGTGCAACCCATTTAACAATGTCCCAGTGATCCTCTAAGAATCCATATATCGTATCGAAGTTGCCTGTTCGGTCAATGGGAATTTCCTGATAAAAATTAAAATTATTTCAATTTAATACAACCATCTTGCACAGTTCCACTTATAAGTGGATCTGAGATGAAATTTACCTTCTTCCAACTTTTATCGAAGAAAATAAACGCAGCACCTCCAAGTTCTATCAAGATCAGCAAGATGATCAATACTGAATACTGTTGATGTCTTAAGGAACCCAAAAAATCTACATAGGAAATTATTGAAGTGGAAAATTTAAATTTTTTGTTGATATGCAACTAATAACACAATATATCCTCAAAATATATTAATAGGAATGCCTATAACTATAAAAATGCTAATTGAAACATCTTTATCTATGGATACTCGGGGAATCAGATGTCCACATAAGTGAATGCGAAAATTGAATGGATACAAAATATTACTCACTTTGTCCCAGTTTATGCTTCCTGGACACTGCTCATGCAATCTAGAATTGTATAAAATAAACCCAAGGAACCTGTAACTGGGACGGAGAGCATATTGGAAAAGTTTTAGTAGTTAAAACCTTTAGCTCTTGTTTTGTTGGAGGACTTTTGAAAGGGAGGGGATTAAAGTGAAGGGGTGGTGTTTTGTTTGTTAAGGAGTTAGGTAGAACTAGGAAGGGGGAATAAAGTGAGGGAGCTATGGACTCCTCCAAATTCCATACGCCTCAGCCCCATTTGGTAATTTTGGAGGAGTGGCTAAGTTTTTTTTTTTATAAATCTTTACTATAACTATTGAAACTTTATCAATTCAGGACCTGAAAGGTAGATGAACTATCAATCCGGGACCTCAAAGATGAGACGTGTCAGTATAGGCCCTTGAATGATTGAAAACTATCAATCTAAAACCTAAAACTCCATAGGTTTTGATTTATTTGATTTTTAATTACTTTCATTGCTAATATTTGATGAATATTTCTTCACAAAGTTTATTAATTTAATAAAATTAAATACTACCTCCGTCTCACTAACATTCGGACATGAAAGGGTGACACGGCTATTAAGAAAAGTGAGTTTAAGTGATTGATATTGAATTGATAAAGTAAGGATAAAGTAAATACTCCCTACGTACCTAAAAACATTGCCAAGTTTGACCGACACGGGGATTAATAAAGTAAAAACTGTATGATTGAGATTTGTGCAAAGGAGAGAATTAACTAGAACCACAAATTCTTTACTTAAAAGGGAAAGTGGCAAAGTTAGTTGGGAGTATGCTTTAGAGCCACCCAAACTTTATCAAGTATGGTGTAAGACAATCTTAGTGGGATATCCCGAAAAGGAAAAATGGGACAATCTTAGCGAGACAGAGAGAGTAATATTTAAAATTTGAAAGAAAAAAAATCATGACAACTCTGATCCTAGATTGATAGTTTTCAATTATTCGGGTCTTATACCGACACATTTCATCTTTCAAGTCTCGGATAGATAGCTCATCGATCTTTCAGGTCATGGATTGATAAAACTTTTTTATATTATTGCTATGCATATAGATTAGTATATTTTCAATTAAAGCGATAATATTATCCAATAATATTTGACATACTACTAAAATACCTACTTTTCCCTCACTTTTTGATTGAGTTAAGGGTCAGTTTAGTCCTCGAAGTTGCATAAAAGGGGTCAAATAAGTCCTTATATAGAAGATTATGTCCGAACGTGCCATTTGAGGCGGTTCCCGGTGGAATTTTTTGATTAAATGTTTTGAGCATCTTATTCATTAAGTCCAGTTTACTCATACCAAATTTCAGCTAAAAATTCAATCGGGAAGGCATTCAAATGAATTCTTGAAGATAACTGCGCTTTTAACTGCATAGTTATCTTCAAGAATTCATTTGAATGTCTTCACGATTGTATTTTTATCTGAAATTTGGTATGAGTGAACTAGACTTAATGAATAAGATGCTCAAAAAATTTCATCAAAAAATTCCATGGGAACCACCCCAAATGGCGACGGCCGGATAGAATCTTCTATATAAGGACTTATTTGACTCCTTTTATGCAACTTCGAGGACCAAACTTACCATTTACTCCTTTTTGATTGGATCAAACATATACTCCCTCCGTCCCATTTTGGTTGTCCTACTTTCCTTTTTGGGTTGTCCCAAAATGAATGTCTTGTTTCCTTTTTTGGCATGAAATATGTGGTTCTTATTAATTCACTTTATTCTACTCAAATCTCAACCACAACTTTTACTTTTCAACCACTATTAATAATCGTGCCAAATTGAAAGTGGACAACCATTATGGGACGGAGGGAGTACTACTTTTGTCTCAAAAAACTTTGTCATCTCATAAAATTTAGACCATGATTTTGATTAGTACGGAGTATAATATTATGGAAGTTGTAAAAGTTATACTTTTAACAAAGAACATTTTCATATCATTTTTATATTATAAATATTTTCCAATACAAATTATAGTTGCTCAAAGTTTTAAAGATGGCGAAGTTTTTGGGACGAAGGTAGTAATATTTTATTAAGCCTTCAGATTTTCCCTCTTCCCTCACTTGAAACCAATAAGGGACGTGATACTGCTAGTGCATTATATTATAAAGACCCAACTCCTGGATTATATAGGGTAGAGAATTCCATCCCTTGGTGGAATGTCATGTTTGGGTCACTAGTAAGCATTTTCTCCATCTCGAATATAATGCCCCACACACTTGAGGCGCAAAATTTTAGAAAAAATAAAAATTTCATTGTGGTTTACTTGCATACCTACTTGTTAAAAATGTTTTTACTTCAACTGATTACATATCTGAAATCTCTCTGAAATCATGATAGAATGGACTTGTGATTCACTTTATTGCCAAAATATAATAAGATAGGATACACAAGTCAGGCAGCATCCATTCCTTGTTGCAGCTGCGATACAACCACAGCAAGATATCACAAAAACAGCCACTCCGATCCCAATAAACAAATAGATAAACCTGTGGGTATGAACCATATGAATTAGCACCTAGAAAACTATAATTCAACATATAGATTTTAGTATGAGAGTTGATGAAAAAGAATGAGTCCAAACAATACAACAAACTACTAGAATAATAAGACGAAACGAGATTTTTGTATCCTCATTTTAATAAAAAGAACAAAAAATATAAATACATCCCAGAAACTTGTTATTGGATACAAAGAAACTACTAAAAATTATTTCTGTTGAAAAATAAACCACTCGATATAAAAAACAATGTGTTATTATTTATAACTACTTCCTCTTACACATGGTTGGCGATGGTGAGAAATGGTGTGTGGCATACGCCATTCGGCGACAATACCCTACTTCGCACTGAAAAGTCCTCCTGGCAACAACCATACACATGACGGCACCATCGCCATCGCAATGACATGTGTGCCATAATATTAAATAGATCTGAACATGTTTACTTTGTTATTTTTGGACTTTGGCCCTGATAAGTATATAAATAATCTGCCAGTCCGTAATATTAATAAAACCCTAATAAAAAAGTAATATGTCAGCCCATTATATTGACAAAAACCCTAATAAGAAGTACATAGGGTGCAACTAACGTAAAGTCAGAGAAAGCTGCTGAACTAATGTAAAAGCTGGAGTCTGATAGTTGTGCAATAGGTGACGACTAAAGGGAACTTCTTCGAAGTAGTTCGAACTGCCATTGCTATCAGATTCAAGTAGAGATGAGGGGGAGGAGTGTGATAATTGATGATTATTATGGCATAATCATCATTTTCATTTACCCCCAGTGCCGCATAATCATCGAATAAAAACATATTGACATGTTTTGAAAGACATGAAACTTTTTTAAGATATTATGTTTTTTGGAACTACTTTTAACTTAGCATGTTTTGGCTAGAATGTCGGTATTCAACTTTTTTATCATATTTTGGTGGTTGAGTGGTAGAATTATAGAGTCTATAGTTCATATTTTTAGTTATTTTTTGCCGCGTGGTGACGCTATAAGGATGTTTTCTTTTGGACTGAAATTTGCTCGTCTGGTCTGTTTAAGTCTGGTTTGGTCTAAACTGGTCTGGTAAATGTCTGGTCTCTGTATTTTATAACTGTCCAAGTCAGGTCTGGTCTGAAAACAGTCCAAAAGAAAACATCCTAAATGCGCCATCACCTTGGGAAAATGCCTCAACGCCATGGGTGTCACCATACGCCATGACAACTATGCTCTTAAATAATTCATCCAAGTACTCTTTCCGCCATGGATGTCACCATACGTTATGACAATTATGCTCTTAAATAATTCATCCAAGTACTCTTTCCATTCTTTACTTTCTAATTTCTCTCTAAGCTGCTTCCCTCACCTTTGATTCTGCAGTTTTATGTTTCATTAGGGTCTTTTCATCACTATATTCTCTCAAATATTAGATGTATGCATGTTGTTAAGAACGAGCGATTTTAGAATATGAATATAATTCCACAAGGTTGCTCCTTTTTTATCACCATAAGCTTGATTCACCCAAAATCTCTTTAGTTACTAAGGAAATACACTTCTTCATTTATCCAAGTAACAATCTTGCGTAATGGTACATCATTCATCAACTACATAGTCATGAAAGAGTTGAAATTTCTTTGTTGTAATCTCCAAAAATTGATTCTAAGGTCTACCTCACATCCTCTCTCGACAACACTAGACCATGTTGAGTAAGGCCCATGTTGAGTAACTACTCTGCAGATTTAATTTGCAAGTTAAGACAATTTCTTCTTTTTAATCTTTAAAATCATATGAAAGTCAGTGTGGCTAACCACTCCAAAGTGTTACCACTTATGCCTTATTATAACCAAATTACTTTTCCTTTTTCTGTACAAAGTATTAAGTGTTACCGAAGTCGGAAATATTGCAAAATTCAACATTGTTTCTCAAATTTGTTTGATATCCAAATCTTTCGTATCAGGTTTCAACATGGTCCATAGCGGTCTAGCCATGTATACCAAAGCTTATAAGTGCACAATGAGATCAATTTAACATTACCTCCAACTCATCAATTAAACAACACAACACAAAAAACAAAAGCAGCCTTTTTTGCTAGACTCCAAGGATTTACTTTCCATGTTGTACGTAAACTGTTAAGTCATATCATACCGCTGAAGCATAAAGTACAAATCAACATATGATATTTTGGGTCATTCATCTTATCTGATTGAACATTGAAGACGGAACCCAATATCGTGATATAGTCTCAGAACCAAGTAAACTGTAACGATCATCAATCAAACTATAATTTAAAAAGAGTTCATAGATATTTCAAGATTGGGCTGCTCAAATGAGACACCGTCTCGTCTAACCTTTAAGACAAAACCATAGAGATTTCACATCAATCAAGTATAAAGATTAAGGAAAAATTGATAACAATAATCCCAACTATTGGCGGTCCGCTTATAATAATCTCAACTATTGATTATTCCAGAATAATCCCAACTCTAGGGACCTTCCGCCAATAATGGTCCCTATGAATAAATTCTTGTAGCTTCTAAAGTGGATAAGAAAAAATATAGCAAGTAATGTCTATAAATAATCTCAATTTTTAATTTTTACGCTTACTTTTCTATTTGAAATTCACTTTTTATAGGAGTTAAATCTGATCATGGACCATTATTGGCGGATGATCCATGAAGTTGGGATTATACAAAAATAATCAGTAGTTGGGATTATTTTCGGCGGACCGCCAATAGTTGGGATTATTATTTTCAATTTTTCCAAAGATTAAAGATACAAAGATACATGATCATATTTAAGTTTGACCTTTTAAGACAAAACCTTAAATACTAATACTATGTATTAACCATTTAGATAAGCATGGGAAAGGGACACAAATTTGAAGGATCATGCTCTAATAGAACGATGGCAAAGGTGATAACAAATATATGCATACTACCAAGAGGAAGAACTCATCAAATAGCACACCATTATACACGACGAAATCACAGGTAAGTGTCAGAACTGAGAATATGCATGCATTCGTACCAGGCTTTTGGAAGGTTATCAAGTATGTTGCTACCCAGTGAGATTGCCATGAGCATAGGTCGGCCTAGCTGTACTATGTCATCATTTGAGGGTGGGTAGGGATATTCATCACCAGATGAGGAATTGTGTTTGTATTCCACGAATAGGTAGATACCATATCCAACCATGGCAAGACCCACAAGGGTCAATAAGAAGTTAAAGAGTTTCAGCAAGCACTCCAAGAACCCTTTACAAGCCATATTTTTAAGACTCACGAAATCTCTCAATTCGTAGCTCCAGAGGTACTCAATTTTCTGCAAAAAAAACACAAAGCACTTACCTCACATCAAGAATGTTTGACTTTAAGCCATTCGAGTAACATACAAATAAACCCCTTGGCTTGGATAACCATTTCAGAAAAGGAACTCTTCGTATATGAAAATTGGGAAAAACAATGTTCTTGAAATGGAAATCCATTCAAATCATCAGAGGATAATCAATTATATATGCATATAGATAATAATATACATAACCATGTATGCAGTTTTTGTTGCCCCTCCCAAGCCATTACATATTTGGAATCCAAATTGTAGTGATCGTGATAAAAAAGCACAATGTATAACTATGATTATTTGAGCTTGTTTTCCAACCTAGGCACCAAAACAAAAAACAAGATATCTATTATAAAGATTAGAAGTGCCGTGCCATCTCAACTGGACTCCCGGGTAGCTTCATCAACCACAATTACAAACTATACTTTATTTTATTTTCTTAATACCTTTAAATGCAATAATCTGAATTTTCTCTAATATGATGACATAACTCAGTTATGACAAGTTTAGCCAAAAATCTCATGGTACTTGAAAACGCAATCATGCAATCTGTGTACAGCCCTATATACGCACATTCAATTAAGCTTATACATATGTAATTAACTGGCAGCAACAAAGGGAAAAATTCATACATATATAGAGAGAAATTTCTAATGAATTATCAAATAGGGCGAAGACTAATTTTGGAGGACATAAACACTTACAAATTCCGGAATTAGCAACTCCTATTCAACGCCTCAAGCGCGCTCTACACTAAATTAATCTTCGACGGAGAAGGGAGTGCTTTTGCGCTGGAGGCAGATCGATCTCTTCAGTTTCGCTGTCTGAAGGATGAAATCAAGGAGCACGATGGAAGCTATGAACAAAAACGACAGTGTTAGCTGCGAAAAATAAAGGGAAATTATCACGTCCCTACGCTATAAAAAATAAAAACGTACTCTTACCCTCATGAAATTATCACGTCCCTATACCAACTAACAAGCACAGTGTTGCTTGGTGGGTTTGGATTTGAAAAATGATCGAATTGAAAAAGCCGATCACAACACGTTAAAATTGTTCAAAATTGAAACAATCCAACTGAAAGTAACCATAAAGCATATGGTAGGAAATAAATTTAAATTTGGTGGTATGCTATTGTATCTGAATTTAAATTTGCATAAGAAATACTTTAATTATTTATATTGTGTGTGGACAAGGTCTTGGTCTCAAGACCGAATGGTTTTTGAATCAAGTTCGGGCCAAAGAATAAAGTTCCAAGTAAATTTTGAGACAAAATTAATGGAAAAGAGGTCTCGGGCCTCACATTTTAGGACCAGGACCAGCCGACCAGCCAGTCTGGTCCCGATCACATTCATTTTTTTTTTTGCATTGAATTAAATGGAGAGCATTTTAAAATGGTTAAAGAGTCATTTAAATGCTAAAAAAGAAGTGAGGGAGGAGATAGATGTTTAAAAATATATAAAAATAAATAAGACTCGTGCCTCCACAATTTTAGCACCAACCAATATGGGTTTGGAACGGGCCCGAAGTGGAATATTATTTTGTCTAAGTTTGTACTCCGTATAATTGTATCCACTACTAGTTCACATGTAAACATGATCATATTTCAACAAATATCATTTTACAAGTTATTAGTATATACATATAATGATTTAATTATACATACATATTTCATTATATACATATAATGAGAAGAAATAGTGGCTAAAATGAAAATCAGGGATGTTAATCGATTCTTTTTACAGTAAATTTTGAGAATGATGAAAGTGTGAAACCGAGAACAAGAGTATAATTCAAAAATAGTTTCGGTTAATTTCGGTTGGCTTGTTTCAATGTTGGTCAATTTCAGCAGGTTTTGGTCGACCTTTTTTTCAGACATTTTTCAAACCCAAAGGCATAATCCAAATTATCTAGAATGAGGCCAATTTTTAACTGTATATTATTTTGGTGGGTTCGGTTTTCCAGATGAAGGTCTTTAACACGGGCACATTTATTAAATATCACGTCTGTGATTGAACAAACCTTCAACATTAAAAGTGGACACAATCAAAAGTTGCAGAACTATATAAGTATATATAATTTCTCTAAACATAAATTAAGAATCACTTTTGATAAAGGATAGGAAGGGGGTAAGAGTACATTTCTGATAGTGCAAGGGTGTTAGCCAGGGTGATAATACATCAAACCTCAAGGGTGTCAATGATAATTTCCCAAAATAAAAGGGGATGGGGATTCACTGGAGCCTAGGGCTGGGTTCGAAAATCAAATCAAAATAAATCAAACCGCAACCAATTTAAACTGAATCGTTAAAAAAATGAATGTAAAAAATCAAAGTGAACCGTAATTGTTTGGTTCAATTTTGGGTTTTACTCTTCAAAATCGAACTGAACAAAACGAACTAATTAAAATATGAAATTTTATATGTTAAGCATTAAGCATTACTTCTAATATCATCGATAGTTGTTGATTTACTTGTACCAAAAAATAATTTTTCTGTTATGTTTAGTTTCGTTTATAAATGCATTTACACATTCATTGGATATAACAACGTAACTATATTAATCTATTATGTATTTTATGTAAATAATTTGCAATTTGTTACATGATGGTGTTATGTTTTTACTGGTTATTACTAGTAACTATATTTTTATGTATCTTAAAGTTTTATATTGACAGAACATATAAATATTCATAACCATATCACATAGAATATATATTCATAAACTTTTTTCAAACTAGTCACAAAAAACATAAATTAAAAATATATACACTTTTATTCCAAAAATACATATTCATGTAATTCAAGATATATTTATTAGAGTTAATGACCTATCTAGGACTAAAAGTATATGCATGTGCACAAATAGGACCGAAAATGTTAACTACGTTTCATACGACCAAATTCATCACACTTGGAAAAAATTACCCATGTTTTAATTTTTGATTTTTAAAATTGTAAAACAAAAAAAAAACTATTGAAACCCTACGGTTTCAACTGCTCGTATGCACAAGCACTTCCGCCACCCCTCGTCAGCACCACCGACGCCGCCGGGCATCCTTGCCGGCGATCGTCGCCATCCATCGCCGCCCCATGCCCCCTCCGCTTCCCATCCACTGGAGTCGCCATCCACCATCGCCGCCACCACCTCTCACCGGTGTCGCCATCCATGCCATCACCATCTGACCGGAGTCGCCGTCCACCGCCGCCACCATCCTCAGAGCACCGACACCACTCGGACAACTCAGACGGAATAAATCTGCCATTAAGTTGGCATATTTACTGTTGGAGATTAGATTCAATCTACCATGAACAAGAGTTTCAGATCCGCCAAAGAGTTGGCAAATTCATCTTGAAATATTAACATAAAAATGCCATAAATTTGGCAAAAATAGGAAAATATGAAATAAATAACCAAATACTCAAACCACTATTTTTTTTCATGGAATAAGCATTTTAACACAATTGAAAATTAGAAAAATGAAGCTATTGACAAAAAATAAAGAAAACACAATTTATACAAATAAAAAAACTATAATATGGTTGTCGATGTACACATTTCTGCCATAAATTTGGAGGAGGAGGAGGACCTTAGTGGCAGCGGCACATGGTGAAATTGACAGCAGCGGCGGCGTGACATGGCGAAGTCGGCGGCGTGAGATGGCGAAGTCGGCGGCGATGGTTAGGGCGGAACTGATCGATGACGCACAGAGAAGAAAGGGAGATCTGTGATTGTGCCCAAGAGAAGAGGGGGGATGGTTGTGCGCAGGGGAGATGTACATAAAAAGGGAGAAGAGTAGCAATGGAATGCAAATTACGGACGTTTTAGAATAAGAGTAAATTAGTCCCATTTGGGGGAAAACCATACATGATCCTATTTAAGAATTTCTCCCCTCTTTTAGAGTTTTAGTCCTATATTGGGCAATTACTATATTTATTACTCCCTCTGTCCCACTAACTTTGTCTCGTTTTACCTTTTTCGTCCATCCCATTATGTTTGTCTCATACCATATTTGGTAATATTTGGGTGGTTACAATTTATTGTTACTTTATTCACACTTTATCAATTCAATATCAATCACACAATTCATCTTTTTCTTAAAAGTTGTGCCACACCCCTTTGTCTCAAACATAGTGGGACAGAGGTAGTACTTCTTTTTTTTTTTTTTCTAGTAGGGTTGCATTTTATTGATGTAATATGTTTGATTTCCCCAAAGCATTATTTAAATCAATTGACATTTTTACTAAAAAAACGAAAAAACCAAAATCGAACCGAAACAAACCCAACAATCGAACTGTGGTTGCGAGTTTTGAAATATAGAACCGAACTTTCTACTTTGGTTCTCTAATTGGTTTTTGGTCAAAACCGAATCAAAAGAACCCAACCCACCCCTACGGGAGCTGATAGAGGAGGAAAGTAAAAGAGTGAGTTTAGCATCTCGTGCGGAAGAAAAGGGTGAAGTTTAGGGATCAAATTTTATTAATAAAAATGATTGGTCTACACCATTTTTATATGTGATTCATACACTTTGTATGTCTGTAATCTGTATACAGCCAACTTTTTGTATCTAGACAAAGCATGCGTATGGTATACACAAAAAGGTGTACATCAAGCATTTTTATTTTGGTAATATTATAATCATTAGTATAGTTAGGGGTGAACAAGAAACCGAAAAACCAAAATTGACTGACAAATTGATAAAAACCGAACCAATCAAAACCGTAAAGAATAAACCCGTAACCGACCAAAAGTGAGGGTGTAACACCGTCCCCAAGTATATTTACTTTTATGTAAATTATGTATTTAACCTTATGAAATGGTTAATGAATTTACGAGGTTGTAAATTTCTGTTAATTCTTTTGCGTGAATAGTAAATTGCACGTGGGGCCCACACCAGGAGCGGGGACCACCCGATATTCCCGAGACCACATATGTTATTCATCTTGGTATAGATAATAATTATATGGTGGTGGACATTCATGTTGGTCCATGAGAAAGGCATTGGTTTGACCGATTGGTCAAACGAGGCCCAATTACCAATTTTGGTGATTGGTCGGATAACAGTCCAAAATGAATTTCGGAGGCCTTTAAATTAAAGTTGGGGAATTTATATTCATTATAAATGCCCGCAATTATTGAGGACATACTATATATTTTATTTGACCCGATAAAATAAATTATAGTTAAAACAGTCCGAGAATTACAACTTTCGGGGCCGAATGTACAATTCGGGACACATTGGGGTGACTTCCCACATGAGTGGGGGCCACCCCACGTTTTTTTGTGCTGGGAACTTGACTTGGGGGCTGTGGAACATGGGATGGATGTAGGAATAGATAGGTGAGACATGGTTGACAACCAAAGGGACCCTCCCAACACTCATTGGCACAATTGAGACAAAACAAATCCCAACCCTTTCCTCCTAAGAATTATTTCGGCCCAAGCACAAGGAAAGGAGAGGAGAGCTCTGCAAACTTCCATCTCCATAGCCAAGAGAGCTCAAGAAAGCAAGGAGCTCAAGGAAGAAGAAAAAGGTTGCAAAAGTAGAGAAAAACCTAGAGAATAAAGGTGAGAAGCTCCTTAACAACTTTTCTTCCATCTTTTGATTTCATATGACTTATATATCATATGAAATACCCTTAAGGATGTTCTACATGGTTATAAGTGTGGAACAAGGGGTTGAAGGTGGTTCTAAGTCCAAGAACGGACTTAGAGGCCAAAGAGACCGGTTCGCCGGAAAATAACCTTTTAAAGGTTATTTGTATTGATATGAGTTTTGTGATGATAAAACCTTGTTAGGCACTAGTCAAAGGTGATTTAAGAGCTTTCACGAAGTTTAAAGAGTCGTCGGAGTTATCGCCGGAGTTCGTCAAAGTTCACCGGAGTTTGGCCGGAGTTCAACCGAGAAGGGTAGAACTTCATCACGTTCATTTGAGGTGAGTGGACGGCTTAATGTCTTATAAATCTTGGGTTAATTATGAGATTACCTAAGTAAATGTTATATGTGTTCATAATGATGTTTAAAAGATGCTTAAACATGTGATTAGCCAAAGTGATTAGGCTTATATGTATGACCCATTGATATCATAAATGAAGTATGATAGGAAAATGTTTATAAAAACATATATGATGTTTTAAAGGATAAAAGGGGCATAAA